AGGCATTGCCTTCTTTAATGATTGTTCTTAGGGAACAATTAGATTATGTTTTACATTGTGTTATTTTTAAGATTTCCGCATACTGGACAAAACGAAAGCATTTCCATCACCACACAAAATTCCTGTTTCTCTATCTAACTCCCCACCCTCCATTTCAAGTTTTGCATTAAAGGATCCCAGACATACAATTACACAAATGTGCAAGAAGTACGGGACAATGAACACCTGATTACAGCAGCATTTCAAGCCTCTTCTGAGCCTCACACGTTCCCTGGATTCATGAATGTGGCCAGCTGAAAACTCTCTATGATTAAGTTATGAAGAGCCAGGATCAAATAGAGAATGAGAGCAAAAAAAAGATCAAGGTTGTATTAACAGTTTGTGCTGGACACTTTATGTGTTGAGCAGCCTTCTTTTTTTTATGTGCTCTGTAAGAAAAATAGAAAATTACCATTAAGTCCAAATGAGTTAATGATATTTGTGTTTCTTGATGGCTAATATTAAATAATATTAAATATTAATCATGAAAGTGGCTGGTGCCCCATGGTTTATACTGTAACACTAAGTCATTGGTGATGTTTTTAAGTCATTTTTGCATGATGCCTGAAGCATATTTCATGGTAACTGGTGATGTAACACTTTTGCTCAGTGCTAAAAAAAGCATGTTGGAAAGCCATGTTTATTACCCGTTTCATAATTAAGCCTGACATTGGAATGGATTATAATCTCAGAAGCTAGATTTCATAAAACACTACTATAAATGTACCAAGTATAAAATATGGTTACTAGTCTTTTAACTGATTTTGACTTCAGTGTTTTAATGTTCTTTGTACAGTACAACACCGATGCCTTAAAAAAAAAACTTGTCTTTTTTTTACCCACCTAGTGATGGAGGGGGGGTTTTACAGCAGTTTTTCTTCTTAAAAGAGCACAAGCTAGACAGTTTTGAATTTAACTTATCTATGCGCAGTGTGACAATTAAAAAAAAAAAGCTAGTGCACACCAGCTAGCAAAAACTGTCTACAGTTGTTTTACAGTCCCCAAAGTGCACTACAGTATATACTGTAAATTGTATTACAGGCTAGATGCTATCAAATAGTGTGTATCCCTTGTAATTGCCACTGTGTCTTCTTTCCTCTCTGGCTATCAGTTATTTAAAAGATTTGCTTGTAAATTTAAGTCTTTTTTTGTTACCCTTTCCTAGGTAGTAAGTATTTGGGTTTCCCAGGCCTGATCTACAATATACCTGCTCAAAGTGCTCCCAAACACAAAAACTGAAAAACATGAACAAGCAAACAAAGAAACATATTCTTGTCAGATGTACTTTTCAGGATTGGGTCTCACGGTCAAAGTCCATTAAGTACCTCCCTTTCCCTCCCATCCCAGACCTGGGAAACCTCCTGGGTAGTTTGATGGGATTCGGAGCTTCGAAAGAAGCCCTTGGTGTGTTTGGGTAAGCAGGATGATGTCCGTGGTTAACAACCGAGATACATTTTGAAGTGCTCTCCCCGAGGCCCTAGTGACCTCTTAAGGAAAGGTTGCTATGTGTTCTGTTTAACCCCCTCTTGCCCTCCAGAGATGGTTTCTAAAGGAACATAAGAACATAAAGAAAGGTTACAAACGAGAGAAGCCCATTTGTCTCATGTAGCTTGTTCGGTAGCTAGAAGCTAATTGATGTGAGGATCTCATCTTGAATGAAATGGTGATATAAACTTTGACATCATGGATGGGATGCTTGTTTCAGACTCCCACTACACATTTTTGAAGCTTGTTGTCTCCGTTTCTGTTCATGGGTATGTATTTTCAGATGATAACCAGGCTACGTTTTACGCAAGTCTTCAACACTTTTGGAATAACAAACTTAATTAAAATCATCTCATATAAAAAGTCTCGTTTCAGTATTTTGCTGTGTAGTTTAAGTGTAGGAGTCTGTTACAAGTCTATTATACAGCATAAGGGTACATTTTAGCAGCACCATCCCTAGAGAATGTCAGGGGGCTTTAACACATAAACAGTGTTAAAAGTAAAAAGAATCAGTGTAAAGTACTACCCTGCAGGCTATAAATACCTTTCAAGGGAAAGCTCTTGACAGCACACTTTGGTTTTTTCAAATCACTACTTAGTGATTTCAGACTTTAGGAAACCAAAAAAATAAAATGTTTCACGTTAAAGAAGTTTAAATTATATATTTTTAAAATGTTCAACTGCATTATCTTTTTTCTAGACGGTAGTACATTTTTATAAAGCATTTTATATAGGCTTTTTTTTTATCATGCTAGAGGTGGACTCTCAGTACTTGGTTTAATAGTGGCTGTATAATTTCTGAAGCATTTGGATCTTATTGAAAGACCTGTTTAAATGAAAAATGCATTGTAAATCAAGTACCAGACCTACCTTGACCTCTGTTTAGCAGAGCCTGGAGATGTTTTTTGTTGAATACAAAAGATTTTGAAGAGGGTAATTACATGAGTCTGCTGGATTAAAACTCCATCTTACTGTGACCCAGTTTTGGAAATTATTGAAAATGTATGGATATTTACATTCATTCCAGTATTGTTTTGTGAGCCAATACTTGATTGGTACACATAATGCAGGAAGGTGAGGTGAATCAAAGCTTTTCGTAAATTTTCTCAACACTTACATATTGATTTTGTAGTCCATTAAAGTAGGTTTTAAACTGTAGAAAATGTGAGAAGGAAGGGAGCTGCTTCATTAAGTGTGTATTTTGGTTATTTTGGAAGGATCGACCATATCTTCCTTGAATTATTCATTGGGACACATTTGTTTTAATTATTTATATGGAAAAAGAACAAAAGTATTTTTCTGTGTATTTTAATTGCTTTTCAGAATAAATTATTTTTTCTCCCCCCCCCACCCAGTTATTGATTAATAACATAATCAATAGCAATTAATAACTGAGTACAGTAAGAGCATCTAACCAAAATACAAGGAGGAAATTCCCAAATCCAAATTCCTATCCCTTCGGCCCATATGGTATTATGACCCATATACACACACATCACATAAATCAGAAGTCACATAATCAGAAGTCAGCTAACATAAGAACCATCGACAGCAGTATACAAAAAACAGATACTGTATAAGACAGAGGTAGTAGTATTTTAAGATTTGCATGTCTTCTTGCATAAATCTGTTAACTTGTCATCTGTTCCAACAATGCAATATTCATACCTTAACTATCTGATGTAACAATCACAAAATAGACCTTGCAATCTTCTGTTTGCTATCAAAATATCACTTTTTGCTTTGAGCCTCAAAAATTAGTTTTTTTTTCTTTTCAAGCCCCACAGCAACTGTAACACATGACAACAAAGAGCGAATGAAAGTCAAAATCAGTGCCTCGCCGTGGGTGTAGAATTGCATAGAACAGATGACTTTTCTAAAAGCTGGGGCAGAAAATACAGACCAAAGTGGACATTCATTTCTGTCATAGGTCAGCTCTCCATTCACTCTTAAAATGGAGGAAAGAGAGTGGGGGAAGATGGAGGAATAATCCTCCCAAACATTATGCCTTCGTGAGAGAGAAAGAGAGTGAGAGGCCTAGTGTTCCCAGGGTCTTTGGCAGCGAGTGTTCTCTCTGTGGAGCACTGTTGCCGTGGTGACCATTGTGCCCAAGAAACCTCACCTCCACTTGGGTCCCCACTGTGAACAGAAAGTTGGCTAGTTTCTGTTTTCTCCTTGTTCTTGTCTTCCTCTCTGAGGAGGCAACGATGTGCTGCCTGGTTCCCATGTTGCTCCTGATTTTTATTTGGATGTGCCAGGAATGTTGGTGAAAAGGGGATTTTATATTTTGGTGTCAATGTGGTTTTATTACAGAACATCCAAAGGGCTCTGCTTGTTCTACACAGGCATTCAGGTTGTAGAGTTTTCATAGTGCAGCTAGACGAAGAATTCCCTTATTAGTAATAGTACCAATAGTAACAGTATCAATAGTAGAGTGAAAGAACACCGCGAGAAAGACAGTTATATAAGTTGACCGTTTTATATGTATAAACTTATTCACTGGAGGGTGTGTTTAGTAAAATGGCCCTAGTTCCACAATGGTAGCACTATCATTTCTCTCTCTGCCAAAGGCTCGAAGATAAAAACTTAATAACTACAAATAAAGAACAGATTCTAATAACGTAATGTTCTTCATATAGCCATGAAGTCAGAATGCTTAGTCCGAATGTTGTCTGAGTCATAGTGAAACATAAAGCGCATTTTAGTGTAAATTTATGAGCATTGTGACAGAGTAATACTAACGGAATATTGGAAAATAGGAATGTCGCTGAATAACAACATTCACTTCAAATAGAGGAGCATTTTGATGTAAATATGAGAATATGTTACTCCACTTAAATCAACACCAAAGAAGCTAAGCAATGTTGATTGCTGATTGACTGGTCTTTGAATTATTAATCTTTTCTTAAATTTATGAGCTTCACATTTCCTTTCGGTTTCTGGAAGAGACCCAGTATAGGATGAGAAGAGCATGACTGCCACCTAGTGGGCGTTTTAACAAAAACTCAAGAAAAAAGTAAACTTTTACAGCGATAGTGTGTCCCTCAGACATTCAGTATTGTATGAATTTCTGCATGATCTCACACTGTTTGGTTCATTCAAATCAAAGACTTTCTGTGAGCCCACTATATAGTATGTGCAAGACCTCAATACTTTCCTATGTAAAGCACGATGATACATACCTCATTATGTAAAGAGTGCATTTTCAGTCAGATGTCTGTTTTGTATATAAAATTGCAAAAATCATGTTTTGTGTTCTTTTTAGCTTGTCCTTTTAGTTGTTTTACTTTATTCACAACCTTTACACAGACCTCATGGAACACTTTCTTTCATCTGTTCTTCTGTTTGACCTTTATCCTATTTCTTCCTAATCCTTATCCTTTTCTCTTTCTTTCTTCCTTCATCCTGTCTCCTTCTTCTCCATTCTCCATGCCCTCCCATTCTTTTCTAATCCAGTGCGTTCTCCTCCCTCACAGCCACCGGTTGGAAATCCGAGCTCAGGTTGCACAGGCCTTCCTGGCCAAATTCCAGCTGACGGCAGAGGAGATGAATGTACTGAGGGGATCCAGGGATACCCCAGTCACCGAGGTACACAGAGAACACAGTGTTTGCTCGTACGTCAAGGAAGTGCGGAGAAAATGGGTGTCTTGACAGTAACCGCTGGCCTTTAGAGACTGGATTGGTTGGAAAGACTCTTTCAACCAATGTTGCCACTTTAACTTCAGTCAAAATCAAAATGGACTGACTGCTTAGTTTTAAAATACTCCAGCTGTTTATGTACATAAATACTCCAGTTTATATGTTCAGTTCCACATATATTTGGCACTAAGGATTCAATTTTACAAAACATTCCATGCCACATATTGTGAAAATCCTCCTGTTTCACATTGTATTAATCATGATAGCTGTGCTAGTTTCTATAATAGCTTTTTAACTGAATAAAATATAAAAAGCTATCTAATCTTGATTTGTTTTTGGTTGGTACACAGCTATTGTATTTTCAATAGTGCAAATAGCAGGAATGGTTTTCATGAAATTGCTGCATGAAAACGTTATGTCTGACTTCAGCCACAGCATTAATTAGATATTTTACTTAGCAAACCCATTTGGTTAATTTTAGGTATTCAGTACTCATAAGTGTCCATTGGTAGGTTAGGTAGGTAGGTTAGATCCCCTTTTCAGGCCATAAAGAGCCAAGGGCCACCATTTTTCTCAACCATCTGACACTGGAAATGGAGGTGATGTGGATAGCATCACACCCCGGCTGGCCAATTACCCCTGGAAGGATTAACCCCCAGTACTCATTTGGAAAGCAGGCTGAGTGGACCTGGGAGCCGTCTGGAAGGAATTAGAGCAAGTTACATTGCTTGCCAGGACCTTCTGGTCAGGAGGTCTAGCCCTTGCCGTCTGAGCTCCCACGGCTCCCCGTTGTTATTTTAGTTACTGATAATGGTGGAGAAAAGGGGACTGTGAAACAAAGGGTTTTTCATAACTCATCAATTGAAATTATATTTAAAAAATCCTTTGGGCAATCTCAGAATTATTTTGAAAGCTTCTGACTTCTGAAAGAAGCTTTGTAGTGAGGAGAAGCATGAACAATGTGTGGTTACACTTAATAACAGCGTAGAGAACATATACTACTCCAAATAAAACTTCATAAGATGTCATTTGCAGTTCAATAAAAAGGTTAATGTAAAGTGTAAAATATTGAATATTCTTTATTCTGTAAATACCTCTGTAGACAGCTTTGTTTTCGCACACTTTCTTCCCCTTCCTGCAGGACTTCTTCAAGGCCTTGGGCCGAGTCAAGCAGATTCACGATGATGTGAAAATCCTCCTGAGGACTAACCAGCAGACAGCAGGGTTAGTGAGGCTTCTTTCTGCAAGGGAGAGACTGGGGAGAAACCCTTCACATTGAGTCCTTTTACAATAAAGGAAGAATGATTCTGTGAATAGTGGCATAAAAAACATTCTAATGGCCCTGCTTATTGGTTTAGCTCCAAAATGTATAATTTAGCATTCATATCTTTTTGTGGTCACTTTAGGCGCTTTCTTCCAGGTATTGTCACGTTAAAGTGTGACTACCACTATTTAAATGGTTATGTTCCGCACACATCATTGCCGTTTGAGTCTCTGTGAGTGGTATGGACAGGATAAAAACCTATGATTCTTAGAATATAAGATTTTTATAGGAATAAGCAGAGTGTGAGCACAGTTCACAGAGTCAATTGATACTTCAGTTTATTATTGTTATCCCCTGGTGCGAAACCTTTTTTGTGTCCAACTCAACAGTACATCATAATACAACGTAGATTTCCTAGATCTATTACCGTTACATCTTGGGGTACACTGGTGTCTCACAGATGGGATTAAAGCAAGTTCACAGAGGAGGTGGTGTGCCATACACTCCATAAAGACATTAGCTTTCTTTATATAACCCTTTGCTGATCGAGTGCATTAAGGCTGGTCTGCTTAACCTCAATGATTGTGCTAGTTATGTTTTCTATTTTCCTTTACCCACAAGAATGTATTTGTTATCAAACAGCCATAAATCTGCCAACAGATAAAACAGTACGTTCAGACGTTCGTCTTTTAATTTTTCTGCTTTAACAGTTGTCACCAATTGTTTGGTTGCAGGCTTGAGATCATGGAGCAGATGGCTCTTCTTCAGGAGACGTCGTATGAGCAGCTGTACCGGTGGGCTCAGAGTGAGTACTCAAAATCTGCTGTGTGATGCCGAGAGGCAGGGGGTAGTGCCACTGAGTCTTGCAGACCAGTCAAAATTGTGGTAATATTTTAGATCATCAGAATAAAACCTTTCAACTTGTTTTAAACTGGTGAATATTGTATAAAATGGAAAACAACCTGCTGTACCCTTTATTTGACTACTAATCATCGATAATGAAAAACGTCTTGTGACAATCTAAATTTTATAAGATCTTTGGTATTGTGCATTGGCTTCTTTGTTGCTCATGGTTGGATTTTTACTTTCTTAAAAAAAGATCTCCACTTATTTTTTTTTTACTGAACAAGCTCCCAAATTCGCTGGTTGCCTTTATGTATCAGCATAGAGGGACACATGGTTATATAAGGAGGTGTGAACAGATTCCCCTGACTCTCACACCAATCAAGCCACACAGTACGGTTTCTGCAGCGAAAAACAGAAGGTTAAGCTACAAGTAGGGTAGAGAAGCAGCACACACTGACATCAAGCCACCTGGGAAGTATCGCTGGGACCTGAGAGAGCTTTGGCCTATGCTATTTCTAGTTGTGTTGGGCCAAATTAAAAGTCCCATGACATGTTTCATAAGAATAGGGGTACTAACCCAGTGCCCAGACTATTTTCCACTCTTGATTTGCATTATCTGACCTCTCTTAAATTTCCTTTTAATTCAGTCGTTATACTTAAAGTGCTTTGAGATCAGCTGGGCTGAAAAACTAGTTAAATGTATGTAGATATAAAATGTTTGCACCACCACTCTAGGAATACCAGTCACAGATGGCTAAGTGACATGACCAGGCTTGAATCTGTGATAATCTGGGTCAGGTTGCTTAACCTGCACTTAGTGTGAAAGTCTTTACCCGTTAAGTCTCTTTGAGTGCCCCTTGGATTTTTGTTTTTAATTACTCAGCAGTTACAGATCACATGAATCACAGCCGTGTGCTTATAATAGCTGGCAGTTATTTTTTCCCTTTTCCCTTTCTTTATCATTTGTCAGTTCTATGAAATCACGTAATACACAAAGTTGTTTTGGGTCATCCTTAACAGAAGGTGTGCATTTGATATTTGAATATTCAACCCCATTTGCTTGAAATGTGCTAACCCTTTTTTTCCTGTCAAACAAAAGAACATTGTGTATCGTGGAAAATATGATGGTGTTCAATTTTCCGCCTTAACTGTGGGAAAGATGTCCCACAGTTCCAGGGAATGGTGGGCTACAGGCCAAAAGAGGCTCTTTGAGCTGCCGAGTTGATTACAGCAAAATCTCCTGACGTGTGAGCTAATCCTTTGGCTCGTTGGGCAGAAATGGTGCGTGATCTGATGAATACCAGTGAAATGCCTTTTCCCCATCTTTAGTTCAAAAAGGCAAATGGCATACGGCAGTCCATTGTGTCTTTGGCTCATTCAATGAGTCCTTTCTTTTCCTCCCAGATGAGTGCAGGGGGCTGACCCAGGAGACATGTGACATCACTCCAGTGCTGAGCCAGGCCATGGAGGCCCTGCAGGACAGACCCGTCTTGTACAAGTCAGTACCGCTCTGTACCGCAGTCTGCTCCCTGGTCCGTGCTCCCTGCTCTCCGCCATCTCTTGCTGCCTTCTTCACTACAGTCAGGGCCTTGTTCAAATTTGAGAGGGTGGCACAGGCCCAGACAGGAGAAATGATGGAAAATAAAACAGCCGTGTCTCATTGGTATACCTTTCTGAGCAGAAGTTAGCTGGTTATTATTGATTGACAGGACTACTGTTTAATTCTGCAATACCCTGTTATTTTTGTTTCTCATTTGTTGTATGTTTCATTGCAGAACACTGCCATATTGAAATGGACAGTGCAAAACACCAAGCACTAAAAGGAGCTCAAACATCCATGTCTGTTAGTTTGACCTTGTGCATGACACAGATTGTCATGCATAAAACGGATATTTACAGTCTTTTAGGGAATGAAATTGGCATTTCTATTGTTTCTGGAATTGGGTTGTATACAGTATGTGCTCTGTCTTACACAGAAGACACAGAAAATAACAATGTGCATAGTTTCAGAGAGCAAATACTGTATTAAAACATGGGAAGTGGGTTAGAAATGAAGAGAATCTTTTCATCAGTTTTGTGCACATTGAGAAAATTGTTACATCGCCAATTGCAAATGAGCATTGTTTATGTTTAACAGTTTTTTACTTCCTGTTTATACACTGATCAATATGAAAATACCATGTGCATTGTCTGCAACAAGAATTGAGCAGGTATTCACAAAATGTTATTTTATAGTATGGTATAATCTGAACTACAGATAGTACCATGTTAATTTGCCACTTATGCTAAATATATTGATTTCCTAATTACTGAGCAATATTGTTCATAATTAGTCAGTCAGGCATTGATTGTTTGATTATCTATAAGACAGATTCCAGTGCATTGAATTGATTGATATCTTGAGGCTTGTAACTTGAAAAACCTGCTAGTCAGGTTATTTTAGTTTACCAGTGAGCCTGGGTCTTGATTCAGTTTCTCTTGCTGCCACAGGAGGTCACTCCTGACATTACAAATAGAACCTCAGCTGGTTCAGGAGTATCTATGGCATTAGTACTGCCTACATATAGTGAATGTCAACATGCATTAGGGCAACAAAATTGAACTCCTCTACAAATGAACCTCCATGATGTAAAATGGTTTCTGTCTGTGCTGTATTCATTCAGAAAATGACAAGGTTTTTAGTACTGTAGCGCATACCCACGTGAACCCGAGAGCACTACAGTACGTTTGGTATACGTATTCTCTATATGCTCAGTATGGTATTTCTGCCTCTTTTGTGCTTTATCTAGGTATAATCCCCTGCCTGACTGGATGCATTTTCCATTAAACGTGTACATTGCATTTTAAATTTCACAATATCAAAAAACCTTCTGAGATTTGCCAGAAGTGAAATCAAAATAAGCAAGACATATAAAGGTTGTTTTTTATTCAAATAGGGACTAAAAGTAGGACATTTTGGATCAATCTCTGTTCAGCATCAGTGTTTTTAAAATGTTATGCGCATCAATGCAACAGTTGGTATTAACATTAATTATACTTATTTTAAGAAGACGGATGAGGTATCAGAAATCTGAATGAAAAAAGCAGGAATGACAAAACTGTTACTGACAAAAATGAGTACTTATTGTGCTAAAAAAGATAGGGAATCTACTGCGCAGGTAAATTTTCTGCAGAAACCTTTTATGAGATTGTTGGGTCTCTTTCCCAGTTCTTTGGTAGTATAGATGCTGCTGCTTTGAAAACAGCCTCCCTTTCTCATCTCATTTTTGTAAATGAAAATTGGAAAGTAGTAGCCGCAAGAAGCTAATACATTGTTTACTGGAAGCATTCTAAAGAGAACCATTTCATATATCTCTATTGAGATGTCTACCAGTATGGGAATATAAAGACGTTTGGGTTGTTTGTGAGTTACTGTTTTTTTTTTTTTAAATGTATCCAGGCTATTTTTAAAACGTGCATGGAAATAGCTTAAGGATGGGCCTGCTTTATGTTATGGACTTTGTGCAGTACATCAATTATTAGCTGAATTTTCTCTTTAGGGAAATATTAATAAGATTGAAGAAGCTTTTTCATTACATTTACGTAGACTGCAGGTCTCTGTCTGGTGTCCTTCAAACGACATTTGACCTTTAATATGCCAAATGTGAGTAACTGTGGGAAATGCACTTCAAACATACCCAGGGAACTTTGATGGCTGCACAGTGTCAGTGCTTGAGAAATGCATTCGGCTTTTTGGTTCTCATCAGCAGAAAAGGCAAATATAAACACAGTGTCAACGTACTACATGGTAATTAAATTGTGTACTTACATAAATGTATTGAATTGGACTTGACTCACGGTTCTCTAAGTGCGGTTTCAGACAGACCCGAGATGCTGTTTTATAGTCCCAATAAGTGCATTCAGCTTTGGCTGATAACAAAAGCAATTTAAGACATAATGGTATTTTATACTTTATGGGATACGTGGGTGTGATTGACATACTATGCTCCTGCTTTTTAGCTTTTCAGGGTTTGGTTTGGATTAGAACCCGACCATATCTAAGTGAGCACCTACAACAAATGTCCCAGTTTTTCCAGTACAGTCCTCTGTCTCGGGTATAATTGTGGCAGTCTATGTCAGGCCCTGTGTAATGACTAAGGTTAGGAATTAGAGTTAATACTGTGTATTGGTTTAGCAGTTCTGTATGTCACATGCATAACTTTACTATCGGGGTTGCTTAAAATTCGGCACAGCTCTGTAGCATATGCAATAGGCTTGCAAAATAAAAATAATCATGATTCTAATCATGATCAGCCTCAGCTGCTTTCCTGTTTTAAACAAAGCCAGGTCTCCCAATAACTATTCACAGTGCATACCAAGTAAAATGCTACTCATTGGAGCCTTTGTCCATACATAGATGATTTTACTGCTTTCCGTCTGAATTTTTACAGTAGGACAGCCTGAATAATATGTTTGTTTCTCAGCTGTTTGCTAGCTTTTGGTACTCTTACTCTCCATTGGCGATGAGACATTTGCAGCTGAGTTTAGTACCTAAACTTCTAATCTTATCCACTGCTTTTTTGAGAACTCGCTTTGTCTGGAAAGATCGAGGAACAGGCTGAAAACAATTCCTAGAGCTTAAACTTAAAACAGTTTCGGTCCCTGTCCCTTGGAGTCCCCTCTGCTGCCTTGTTTTCACACTTTATTTCCCAAAGCTGGTAGTTCAGGCTGGCACTGCATGCCCAAGGACGGCCGACGATAGGAGAGCTCTGTTCCTGTAATCCGTCACTCCCCCATGCTGCATTTGTCTCTGTTTAGTCTGCCAGAAAGAGTGAGTAGCTTTTTAACCCGTATAGCTCTTTAGAACTACTAGCACCTAAATATGAAATATCCGGAAACTCTAACAAGTAATAATGGAGCAATCGCCTCTATTTAGTTCTTCATCTGTTATTAGGATATTAACCAATATCTACAAATAATCACTAGTAGGATAAAAGTAGCATGCAGCTGGTATCTATGGCAGCAGGATTATACTGAACCCTTAGCAATGAGGTCTGTAGTCCTTGTGCACCACTGTCTTATATGTTTTAGAGTTAGATGTTAAAGTGGCACTTCAGTCTGAATTTTCAGACTGGTTATTCTCGGTATATCTCGGTAACAAAATATATTCATTGACCAATTTGAAATTTTTTCGAATTAAGCACAAAATTGTTAACTTTGTGAAAGTACTGTAAGTCACCATGTTGTCACAGACCTCTGGTTTCACCATGGACTAGAGCGAGAATTCCCACAAATTGCGACGTGTTGTGGCCCTTCCTGCTTGCTAGTCACTGTGAATGATTAATGAAATGCGATGTACAAGTGAGTAAATGCAGGTTGTACAACAGACATTTCACTGCAGGAATGTCCCAATTTGATCTGCGTGCAGAGTTAACAAGTAAATTGTATTTGTTGGCAAAACCATCTAAAAAATCGAAAGCAGTATTTCTATTGGATTAAAACAGATGTATTCAAAAGCCTGCTTGGTTTACAAATTAATAAGGCCACTTCACATTACCAGAAGATTTGTATCCTCATTCTGAATCGCGCTGCATATACCTGGAATTGTCGTCAATTTTGTGATGTACATTGGAGATTTTACAAGTTACTTAGTACATTTTACTTTCATTGTGGTTTGAAATGCACTAATCAGTGCAGATCCTTTCTAACCCCAAAATATAAAAAAAGAGCTACAGTTTCCCTTTAATAGTCAATGACCAGAGACATGGAAAATGTACAGTATCTGCTTGCACTGATGAGGACAAATCACTAGATAGGGTAAGTTAATAATAACTCAGTTGCAACAAAAAAATGAAGACTTCATGGCTCAAGAATAGCATGTTGGTTTTTATGTTGATATAATTTAGGTTTCTCAAACCCTTATTACTGGGGTTCCTTTTTCCTGACATGTTTGCTTGTTGATGTTTCCTAGTTTGCATTCCACAGGAGGTGTTTACTGCACTAGGTTAATTACAGTGCACATTAGTTGATAAAATATGAAGTGAAAAAAAATTCTTAAAGCAATATTTTTGTGGTTGTCTGCATTATCTTGCAGTATTTTATGTTATAGTGTTCTTCATTTTTTGGCTTCACTTTACTTGACTTTTTTTTCCCCAAGGTGTAGCACAGTAAACGCCTATCAGGGGACCGTAAACACACAGACAACAGTAAAGACACAGAGGTTTGGCATTTTTTTTTCTCAGATGGTGTTGTTGTTTGCCCTGGTGTGCAGGTACACACTGGATGAATTTGGAACAGCCAGGAGATGTGCTGTCGTCCGTGGGTTCATCGATGCCCTGACCCGTGGTGGCGCAGGGGGAACACCTCGCCCCATTGAAATGCACTCTCATGATCCCATGAGGTACTGCCATCCTGACCTAAATATCTCTCTGCCTTGCAGAAGCTCAGAATCCCTTTAAACACTCACTTCTTGATAAAAACAGAGCGTGGAGACAAGCGTCTTAACTACTGTTCCCTCTATAGTTGGAAGCAAAGGTACTTTGACAATAAAACAATGGTTAATAGATTTGTGTTGATAATATTGTGATGTGCGTGTACTGCAGTAACCATTATTTTGAATGCTTCAGCGCGTGGCGTGAAAACTAAATGAAAAAAAAAATAGCTTAGCTTCAGTAGAGTAAAAAAGCATAAATCCACTGGTTTATGGTAACCACCCAAATCAATGTAATGTGCCTACTCCACAATTACAGGAATTAAAACCTATTCCTAAGAACCATTGTTCTGTGAACTTTCTCTTATAAGAACATTAGTCGCCTCAGAAACGGCTGAAGTATTGACTGTTCTCTGAACTGACCGGAGCGCAATTTGCTCTCCAGCCAGTTCTGTGTCTCATCACACTTGAGCTTTCAGTGAACCCTGCAGAGCTGGTAGGGGGAGGCTCAGCCTTAGGAGTTAAGACTGGGTCAGGCCAGGGTTATAATGGATATTGACTGGGATGCTCATTTCTTCCAGGTATGTCGGAGATATGCTAGCCTGGTTACATCAAGCCACTGCTTCAGAGAAAGAGCACCTGGAAGCGCTGTTAAAACTGGTGACTATGCAAGGTAAAAATAATACCCTTGTCAAAACTGCCACCTAGAATAGTTATGTTAAAGAAAGTAAGCATGGCAGTAAACATTTTAATTCACACTGTGGTTTCTGATACTGGCATCATCAGTAGTAGTATTTTGTGCTGCTCATAGATAGATGCTTTATTGATCCTGTGAGGGAAATTGCAGTGCAACAGCAGCATTACACAGACAACACAGCCACAGTCTAACTAATTATACAATAATAATAATAGTACAATACATACAATACAATCAGTACAGTGAGGGGTGCACTAAAAGAGTTACTCGCAGTCCGAACACAAAAGGAACAAAATAGAACAGAACAGTAAGCAGAAAAATTATATCACACATATGAATAGAAATATAGATGTAAATATAAACATTGATATAAATATAAATGTATTGCATGGGTCCCTGGCATATATTGCACCAAAAACGGTTGTAAACAGGAAAAGAAAGAGAACAGATGTAGCAGTAGATGTGTACATGTGTTCAGTCCAGAAACAGGTCACTGTCAATGTTGCCTCTGCCCAGACGCAAGGTGGATGCATACTATAGTTATAGTTCTGTTCATATTAGTTGTGACTTTTGGAAAGATGATGTTAGCCTTTTTGTGTCTGAAATGAGGACATGGTGTACTACGTGTTTTAATTTGCATCGCAGTCTTAAAGCCACATCCTTTGGAGATTTTGATCATTTCCATCAGACAAAAACTGCTTTATTGTAAATTTGGTAGTGCCCAAAAATGTTAATTATGTATAATCACAGCTTATCTACTTTGATGCTCATAGAGTTTGGCCTTCACTGCTGTTTCATTTTTGACTGTTTCAGTCTCATTATGAATTCAGAAGAGATAATAGAGCATCATATTTGGCAGAAACAATCCTTTGTGCATAGATTCAGCACACCATACAGGAAATAATGGCACGCAACAGCACTAGTAATGGCACTAGCTGTGAGAATAGTGCAACACGATTTCTAAATGAACATTACTGATTATACGTAATCTAGGATTTTCCCGTTTTTGAAACACCTTTTTATTTATTCTTGATGTTATTTTCCCAGCTCACTTACACTGTTGGTCCCTATCCTGGACCATTTTTCCTGGAGTATGCTAAATCCAATATCCTCACCGCTTTATGTGATGGGTTAAAGGCAGATGTTCAGGGAATAGCTGTTCGGTGTTTTGAGATCTGGTCGATGCTTGTGTTGTATTCTAATTAATAATACATTTTTTTCTTTACCATTTTCAAAACAGCTGAAAACTTTTATTCAGACTGTGTTATCCAATTTAACACGTCAGTTAAATGCGCTGATCAGAAAAACTTTTTTAATAATTAACTACTAGTTGCTAATAAACTAGTCAATACTAAAGACAGTGAATGGTGTGCAAATTCCTTATGTGGCTTAAAGGGACTATATTACTTTTAAAGAGTGGTGTTGGGGGAGGGATTATCATTTAATTTTAACAGCAGATTGCATTAAGTTCACTGACTAGCATTTGACATGTTATTCCAATTAAGTATTATCAGTAAAAATGATGGCTTCTGTAAAAAAAGGTCATATCTCAAGGATAGATATATGGGCACGCATAATTCTTTTTATCTGCACAAGGTGCTGAAGATTGGTGTTGCTCATGGTGATAGCCACTATAGAGGCAGACAATATTGAATCTTTGTCCTTGAATGTTTCCAGGAATAGAAGAGAGCATGCAGGAGGTTGTGGGACACATAACAGAGGGAGTCTGCAGACCCCTTAAGGTGAGAAACCAGTTTCAAGCTGTTATACTGGGGAAACCTCATGCTGTGTAGCCTCATTCTAATAAACTCTAAAGGGTAAAGGGCATTATTTGTGGATGATTAAGCAGATGTACTGTAGGTTTTCTGAACTGCAGGCTATTGTACAAATTGCATTGATGGAACACAAACTCAGTAACAGCCTTGTTTCTATGAATAGTTTTCATATTATCCATATATTATCCATCCATTAAATAAGCTTTGATGAAAGTTGATCTATAGCTTCTCTGTCTATCAAATTCATCTGTTAATTTGTTTCTCTTTTACTAGTCTTAAAATGAAATGTTGTAGTGTTTAATGTTTTTGTTCTGGTGCTCAGATCAGACTTACAGACTTACAGACTTACACTCCTATATTACCGTTTTCTTTCTCCATTGTAACGCAGGTGCGGATTGAACAGGTGATAGTGGCTGAACCAGGGGCTGTTCTATTGTATAAGATATCCAATCTCCTCAAGTTCTACCATCATACTATTAGGTATTGAAAATAATTCTTTACTATGCATACTGCAGGAAAACTAAAAGCAGCAACAAAGAGAAACTCTAGACAGCAGCTGTTGTACATTTAATTCTTAAAGCATCTCATTACCATAACCTAAAAGAACTCAACATGGAACCTTACAGATTCCTGGTTAATTGTTTGGAATTGTCACGGTTGTAAAATTTTTGTACTTTAGGACATTTAAATGAGAAATTTTTCACTGCTTTGACAAAACATGAACATATATTTAAAACAAGGGAGAAAAAACAAATATTCAAAGCCAAATACATTTGAAGCTGTTACATTTGAAGAGTCAGAAACTTAGTTATTTGAAACAGACAAAACGTTGGCTTCTGAAGATATCTTAACCATGTCTGTTGGTTCATCGAATGTCATTCTAATTTACCACAATAATATTGGTTGTCATAGGTCAATAGAATAAAATGACCATGCTATTGAAACACAATTGTAGCTGAATCAACTTGTACACAAACATGATATGTTACTTCCACAGGATTTCCTCTTCTATAAATTCAGCATTCCAGGTTTAACGGAAGCAAAGGGAGACCCCTGTTGATATAGTTCAGTAGTTTCTTCAGCAAAACCTGCTTTATTTTTTAAGTAAAGTGGATGAGGAAAGCAGTGACAGACCGACTAAAGAACTTGGTGTCCTTTTATTTCCTCTTTCAGTGGCATTGTGGGAACCAGTGCAGCGACTCTTCTCATAACCATTGAAGAGATGCACATCCTGAGCAAGAAAATGTTCTTCAACAGCCTGAGCCTGCACGCCAGCAAGCTGATGGATAAGGTGGGTAACAGATCAGCTTAAAAAAGGTTGTGGTCAGGCAGTGGTGAACCACTGTGTGGTGTTCATTGGCATAATCATCTCTTAACATCTCATCATGGCAGTATAACTAATCCTTCAACAGAGAAAAAAAATCCAGATTACTGTTTTTCTAGTTCTGCTTTGGGGAGTCTTGCTTCTAAATATAATTTCATGGAAATTGCTTAAAATCCAAGTCCAAGCAGCAACTGGGAATCAGAATAGTCACCATGAACTGTTCACCAAGTCTGTGACTGCATTTCCTTTCGGTAGTGTAATAAATCCAGGCAATGGATGGGGTTTTGTGTGATCATTGTGACATATTTAAAAACTGAAGTATAGTACAATTTTGACAGTCTTATGGAAAATGTATCTATTTTTAATGAAAATGTGGCTACCAGTTTATTGGAGTGCATATACAATTGTGGAATTGCATATTGGTGTAGTGTACAGGTTCTTAGTTGTTATGCTTCTGTTGTATTCCAAAAAGCATGCTTCCATAAAATCTTGTTAATCTGCAGAAATTCAGAAATTTAAACCCTGAGAGAGAGCAGCACAGAGGTGCAGTGGTTAGCATTGATGCCTCACAGCCCTGGGGCCCTGGGTTCAATTCCAGACCTGGGGTGTTGTCTGCGTACAGTTTGTCTGTTCTCCGGATGTTTGTGAGGGTTTCCTCCAGGTGCTCTGGTTTTCACCCAAGGTCCCAAAACATACTGGCAGGTTAATTGGCTTCTAGGAATATTGGCCCTGGTGTGAACATGTACGTGCCTGTCTGCCCTGCGATGGACTGGCGTCCCATCCAGGGTGTACCCTGCCTTGCCCCATTGCTTGCCGGGATGGGCTCCTGCTCCCCCGTGACCCTGAATTAGAAAAAGCGATTAAAAAATGGATGGATGGAAAACCTTGAGAGTAGTGAAAAATATTATTACAATCTTCTACCCTGTGGGTTTAGGAGGATGGTTCTTATTGTTCTGTCATTCTTGGAAATCATGCACTGCAGATAAAAAAAAATAACACATGCCAGTGTAGAATTCATGAATTATCGCTCTGGTGTGAAAATATTTTCTTCTTGAAATGCTAAGGAAATTCCTAATTTTTGAGTAGTCTGGCCTGCTTCTCAAAGCAGCTTCACAGAGCTGCAAGCCAGCTACTGATTACTGAAGCATAGCCAGGAATAGTTGATCTCAGCTGTCTTTTTATGTTAAAAAAGCTTATGTGATTGTGAAAAACAGCCATGAAAATTTAGTGTTCTGTGGATTTAGTAACTTTGAATATTTAGCAACATACCTTTCAGAACCCATGAAATACAATGCAGGAGGATTTTACTGGCTAATTAGTAACTAGACACCAGTTATATGAAATAAATATTAGATATTTTTATTTCATTGTTTGGAAAAAATAATTCCAAGACCGTGTAGCACAAACGTTTATTGAGTATAAATTTGCAATTTGCAATAAATTGTCAAAAGTTGAAAATGCAAGTTAAGTTAATTTTGACATACGATTGTTAAACATTAAACATAATAAAAGTATATTATACTAATTATGTATAGCTCAATCATGTGTGGTGCATTTGATAAAGCAAAAAAAAAAACATTTTCTGCAAAGAAGCAGTAGTTGTTCCAAGGTTTTACTCAAATTTGACTTCTTTCACCCATAAAAATGTTGTCTAAGTATTCAAGATCCAGATTAAAACCATTCACTTGAAAAATATCCCCACATGATCTGCAATTCTTTTGCGAGGTGCTATATATACAATAAATTTACAGAGAAATATTAAAGCAGGAAACGTTATTTTGTGCTTAGCACCTCTGTGGTTATATTTAAGCTTTCTCCTTCTTGGTGCTTCTTTTTTAAAGCTAGCAAAACAATGACAGTTTTTACAAATTCACATAATATCAAATTAGTTGTTCTGCTTATGACCTGTTGATTGTGTTCTTTGTATGACTGGGGGCTACAAAGCTTAAATGAGTTTATTTCAGTCAATATTAAATGAGGGTAATTCTAAAACCCTAAAACCACAACTGCATCTTATTTTGTCAGAGGTAATTATGGAACCTTTTTGATTAAAAGGTAAGTGTTTCATCGCAGTTTTTGAAAAAACCTCATATATATAGAATGCATAAACAGAGCCTAATCTGAACTATATACCTTGAGAATGAGAGAATGATTCTTAAAGTGTTAAGGCATTCCTTTCTAAAGAAGTTCAATCACCTGCCCTGAAAATGTGGAAAGAAAAGCTTAACACTAAATTTGTAAGGGTCTTAAAAATACAGATGTAAAGCTTAATATTGAGAAGCTTTATCTTAAAGTGGTTAATTATCTAGAGTACCTTGACTGCCACTTACCAGGGTGAATGTGTTTCAGTAAACATCCATGTTAAATGGTCAACAATGACATGTAAGTTTTGCAATCAGTATTGTAACACTTCACAGATTAATAGTTTTATTATGGATGCAGTATTCCTATGTTAAAAGAAGTGATGTAAGATGGTATTAAAAAGACTTTAAATATTTTCTACAGAAATGGAAAGGAGGGTGGACAGTCAACTGTCCTTGCTGCAGTGTAATATAATATAATACAATATAATAATATTGTATAATAATATTGAGAAAGAATGGAAAATAAATTAAGGGAGCTCAACTTTTGAAATCAGGTTTTTTTTAGCAGGAGATATGCCTTGTAAACATATGGAAGCTGACACGTACACAGATTAAGTGTGAGCTGGAATAAAAAAAACAGTATCTGTCTTCCAGGCCCAAATTATTTCCAAAATATCCCTGAACACGGCCCAGTTTCTATCTGAGAACAGGCTGTTAAGTGAATGATCAATACCGGTTGCTACCTGTTGCCAAGAAGGTCTTCATTCAGTGCTGCAGAAAGAATTATCCCCTTAACGTGGTGATAATCAAATTGCAGGACATCAGAAAGAAATTTATGACTTTCAAACAAAACTAAAAATAATACTCGGAACACTGTTTCCTATGATTGCTCCTATAATTTTACGAGGGCTTGACAGGATATTGAAGGCTAGAAGTATTTTTAAATTCACCACTAAAGAAATAAGTGGCTTATTGGGAATCTGGAAGTTTTTCTACTGTGGGCAAAGGTAAATGTTAAAGACTAATGTTAGACACGGATGGTTTTTTTATCTACTTTTGTAAAAAAACAGAAATGTTTTCTGAACAAGAAACAACCTTCCAACTACTTATAAAATTTCATGATGGACTTTTCTCAAGTACGACTAGCAAGCATTGCCCTACCTTGATGTCTTGTCTCTCTGTGGAATTCTTTTGAGTATAGCATGCCTCTGTTATTTGTAAAACTTCATATAGTCTAATATCACTTTATGTGAGTAATTTATGTGTATACTGTCATTGTTGCTAAGTTTTATGTTATGTAGCAGAGCTGGGGGTTTACACACCCACATTAAATCCCTATGCCCAGGGTTCCCATGTGGCTTTTATGCATTTTTATGCATTTCTATAAAACAAAAATGATTAAAAAGAATAGCATCTATTCTGTATGTCCAGCCTTTGAATGCCTGAGCCTAAGAGCAAAATGACAACTTTCTGAAATCTTCCTGTTAGTGTTATTACTTAAATATATAAGAATGATTGATAATATTTTGCTGTGGAGGTGGGTGAATCAGTGTAATACCGAAGATAAATTTCATACGGATGCTGGTCCGTTTTTCCACTGAACACAAATATGATGGGATAACTGAATTAATAAGATTGATTTTGAAGCCAGTTTTCCCACAGTGCAGATCCAATTCAGCACTACCAGTAAAGGTGAATTCTTAATACTTATTCTAAGCAAAGCTAGAAAAGAATATGTTTTAAGCCTTATTTTCAAGTAACATTTCAAAAGATTTATCTAACATCACAAGAAGTGTGTGCTACTGCATGTCAGAATGTTACTTATTTATAACAGTATGGAACTTGGTGTTTTTCTTTGGGTATCTGAATGAAAGAGCACCCTCAGATTATTTAAAGAAAAAAAAAAAGCCCATCCAGAATACAATATCCAGCAAGCAGGAAAACATTACTTGAAAAAATCAGATTTTACAGTCACATGCAAGGACATATCCATATCAATGAAGACCATGCATTTTCATCATCAGCACCAGTGGCTAAATATCGGCCTACCTAATATAACATTTAAAACAGCCAGGAAAAATATTGTTTCATCCCATTATCAAGATTTTCTGTGATTCAGTTTGCTTGTAATGCTCATGAAAGTGCAGAAGAAATTATTCCAGTTTCCTTCTCCAGGTTGAATTGCCTCCTCCTGACCTTGGGCCCACCAGCTCTCTCACCCAGACCCTGTCACTGCTGCGTGAGGTCCTAGCATCCCACGATTCCTCTGTTGTGCCACTAGATGCCCGTCAAGCAGACTTTGCACAGGTGCCTGATATATGCTCATTGGTATTGCCTTCCTATTTGATCTTCATGATTAAAGTAACTGTGCGAGATTGTCAAAAAGTGAAAATGGGTTTTGCTGCTGCTCTAAATACAACATATTGTATTTAAATATCATATTGATAAATACAGCATATCCATACTTCCAAATTTCTCCATTTGTATTTCTGTTCTAACTTAAGCATTTTTGTGCTCTGATACTCAACCTGATCTTTAGAGTATTATTTGCATTTAATTGCATTATTTGTAGTTTTTGCAATGCAAATGAATCATAACAACAAATGAGAAACATGAATGCTAAATTATTTTATTTTTACTACTACTGCCAGGGTAGTAAGACTGTATGGCAGTCAGCATTGGTTCCTCTTAGCATTCAGTTGTGGGTTTGATCACAAACTTCTAAGTAGAGTTTTCATGTTCTCCCTGTGTTTGTGGGGTTTTGCCTTTGGGTATTCTGATTTCTAACCACACTTCCAAAGGCATGCTGTCTAGGTAAATTGGAGACTCTTAATTATCCATGTGTGTGTCCTGTAATGAACTGGCATCCAGGGTGTAGTCCCACCTTGCAACTCTACGCTTCCTACGAGTTGTAGTGACCCGTAACTAGGAATACGCAGGTGTGATAATGGATGGAGAGTGGGAATACACCCTGGATGGGATGCCAGTCTCATGCACAACACATGCAAAGAAACCTTCAAACACAGGGAGAACATGTAAATATCACACAGATCTGGAATTAAACCCAAGACCCAGCAGCAGTGTTATCTGCCATGTCATTTTGTCTCCCTGTTTACGAATAAAAGACCTCGAAGGGGTAAACTAATCTTGCCAATCCTGTATCACTTTAATGTTAAAAGGTTTTGTGGGATGAGGTCTGTAACTTGAAGCAAATAACACTTTCTCTCTCCTTTCAAGGTGCTGTCCTGTATCTTGGATCCACTCTTGCAGCTCTGCACAGTGTCTGCGAGCAATCTGGGCACCGCTGACATGGCTACCTACATGGTCAACTCGTTGTACATGATGAAGACCACACTGGCTCTCTTTGAGTTCACAGACAAGCGGCTGGAGATGCTGGAGTTTCAGGTACTACTTTGACTTTGGACTTGGCTTGGTATCTATTTTTAGTGCCAGATTGTGTCATTTTGTTTTTTTATTTAAAATTGCAAAATTAGTAGGAATGAGTCAATAGATTTTAGTACTTATCTGTCCTGAGTTCCACTGTGTGATGATTTGGTGACTTGAAATGATGAAATAAGAAATTGGAGCAGTTAATTCACAGAGTACTTTAGGGCAGCTAGAAATTTAACACAACAAATGATGTACACACAGAGATTGAGAGCGCACAACAACAATTTTGTTAAAAAAATAATAAAATGTGCCAAATAAACGAGTATGTAAAATCAAACTTGCCATGATAGATGCAAATGGATGATCTATCACATAAATTACAAGAAACTCGTAAAAATACAGGGTTATACAGTATATGTTGGTCGATGTGGTCAATCATGTAATAATCAGTGTCAACATTCATAATCACATGAAATTGTATTTGCTTTATAATTTAAACTTTATTGATTATATACTGGTTTAATGTTTTTACTCACTTTTATTCACTTTTAAAAATGTGAATGTTGAATGTACAGTCATCCTAATTGTGAATGCTTGACTATGTAAAACTCTCTGATGAGGTTATAAAAGTTCCACATTGAGAGGAACAGCTTGATTCATGTCAGTTTGTCCTCTACTCTTGGTACAGAGCCAGTGGACAAGGGCAGGATTTTGTGCGTCATTTCACACTGAAGTCAGGTCTTCCATTGGGGCATGTACAAAGTTTCAGAGAATTTGGTTCCCTGTGGAGAATCTTAGAAAGTCTGCTCTCCTATATTTTGGAGCTGCCATAATGAATATTTGTTGCTATTCAGCGGTGTCAACAAATGTCAAACTGTATTATTTCAGTGCTCAGGTGAAATTACAGTTGAGACCTCATCAGAGCCTCTTCCTCTGCCAAGGAAGATTTGGGCTAAGTTCTGGTTTACATAAATCCCTCTGCCCCACCCTTACTTTGTAAACTAAGTTTTGATGCTGTTATGGTTCAGACAGCAGTAGTCACAGTCATAATGACAGGTTGCTAGGATCTTAGAGAGCACTGAAATTGCTTGTGCAACACCTTTTAATTCATGTCAATGGGTAGTGATTGGTTGTGATGTTATCAGGTGTAGTGGGCATCCCTCATTTGTGGATCATGGGGTCCCGATGTGCCTACTTCTTGAAGCTTCAGATTAAGAGGAGTCGATTTGAGCACTTGATTGCAGGAGGTATTTGGATGGGCCCAATTTATAGTGGGGAGGTTCAGCGTTGGAGAGCCAAGACATCCTGCTTTCCATCCCACGAGTCACATGTCGGCAAGAATACCGAAGATATTTTCATACTGAATACTCAAAGGAGTAAAGTCATTTTTAATTTTCAATTACAGGGAGGGGGAAACCATTATTATAATCTTTCTGAACACTTAATTCTTAACATAGAGTTGCTGGTACAATTCCAGCATTCTCCAGTTTTGCCTTTGTTTTTGAACATCTGCTTAAAGGTTCTTTTCAACCTTTTCCTGCTGTCTTGTAGAATTGCTATATTACAGCATTGATTTGATGGAAATCTTAGACTACAACTGGAAGTTTGGCAAAGAGTAAAGCTCTTTTTGTTCTTTTTTCAGTACAAAAATTGAATGTAAGGCTCCTGATTGAAGTTATCCAAAAGAAGAAGTGTGCTTACCTACTATACGTAATGATATGTATAGTGCTATAGATAATGATAAAGATAAAGTGCACTTCTATAGGGAGCATATATCCTAGTTATTACGTTTAATTTATTTTAGATGGCGAGTTAAGTATCAAATGGAGGATAGTTACAAAACCTTAACAGTCATTTACAGCAAATCTTATGTGCCATGCAACCTTGAAAAAAGAAAAATACAACTCCCAAGTTGCAAGATAAAACCGAAATGTGTCAACTGCCTGAAGGCACTTGTAAATTAACCTGCTGAAAGATTTATGTGACAGTTTACAACTCATGTTAATAAGAAACGGGTGTAAACTACACGATGGTGAATATTTTATGAATGTCTGCGACTGATGACATCCTGTCCTGACTCGTGGCTTTTACGTACCCAGCTCAAGCAGTTTCCTGGCAGTTCTAGCCCAAGCAATAGATTGGCACAGCCTGAATGTTGTTTTTTTTCTCCAATAAAATGTGCAAAAATATTTTTATCATCTCACTTCCATAAATTTACCATTGATGGTTGTTAATCAAGTTGTTTCATGGCCATAACGCAGTCCATGCTCATAACATGCATTTACTGTTTGTCTAAGATGCTTACAGCTTTTCACTGCAGTGTAGATTACATGGTTTGTGTAAAGTGTTCATCTAACTATGTGACAAATATTGTATTATACTGTAACTGCATTAACTCACACAGCTGATCTTTAAACAGGAAGGTGATAACTGGTTTAGACCCCTAACAATGTCATGACCTTAACAGAGGAGGAAGTTTTGGACTTTTGAAGGCTGTGAAACACATTTCCAGTTTCAAACAACTGATGATAATTGTTAAAATTTCCTTGCATCTTTGTTATACCCAATTTATTTGACATGGAATTGTATTACTTCATAAGTAATCTTTATAAACAGAATATAATCTTAGTTTCCTTTGCAACGATTTACGTAGAGTTGAGCTCTTAATTTACAGTTAATTGAACACAGTACATGGGAGACTCTATTAATAATGCACGTTCTCAGCTACATTAAAGGAAATTTGCTTTGGGGAACTTCTGATCAGCTCATTCAGTAAAGGTGACAGCCATTAGCCCAGCTTCAGCCTAAGCTTCACTTGTCAACATCAGGGCTTTCTAATAAGTTGACTGTCATTCCCAACGGTGAACTGGCCAATCACTGCCTGGGTAGGCTTGTGTCAGACAGAATATCCTTTCCTCCCTGCTTATGAACAACACCTGGGGCCGTCTTCCTTCTTGCAAGCTTCCAGTACTGGCAGTGAGAGAGACTTCTCATTCTCCCATAGGACATTGTGGAGTTTGATGCCTGTCAGGTAGAAAATAGGTGTGACTGGTGTCTGTGTTGGACAAGTATAATACTGGACTGAAAAAAAACAAGTTTATAAGAAAACAATTGGGGATACCAGATGTTTATGGTTTAAAATATAAAATATTAGAAACGCAGCAAATGACTATTGGAACTGGTAGTCATTTTTGGGGCATTTTAAAGGAGACCATTTTTAGAAAATAGTTTGTAGTTCCTGTTTTGTGATTTCCATAGCTGGTGTGCAACATTCAGTGACTGCATTGCCCTGGCTTATAGATGCTCATGAAAAACAGGTCCACTCTTAGGCTGTGCTCAGTGTTGTTCAGCCTGTTCTTCTTACTCTGTTTTATTTTGGTTAGATTATTAGGACCTCATAGTTCTTCATTCCCTTGTGCTCTCAACTGAGTGTTTTAATGGTGGGTATTGAAGAAACTGGGAATAGGGTTTTTGGGTTTTTTTTTTCATATGGAAGGAGATGCAGAGGAGAGTGTTCACAGTGCACTTTTCTGCTTGATCTTCACAGATTGAAGCTCACTTGGATACCTTGATCAATGAGCAGGCTTCCTATGTTCTCACCAGAGCGGGTCTGAGCTACATTTACAACTGTGTGCAGCAGCATAAACCTGAGCAGGTGAGCAACCCATGGCAACTACTACAAATCCTACTCTTCGAAGTCACCAGGGTTCATCAGAGATGAGCTGATTTATAACATGTAAATTGTTAAATGTATTGTGCTCTCGACTGTCATGGTGGGGTTAATTTCACAATTAGTGTGTAGAATTTGAAAAAGCCAAAACCTAAGCTATTGACCTCTCTTCTGAGGCAAGTCTGCAAAGGGAATATATACTAAAATGCTACTTTCATGGGAAGAGATTGGAGGACTTGTGACTTGAATATACTTGTGCAGTTTATTTTTCATTACACAGAATGGGTTTCCTCATACGAAGATGTTATACAACTTTTTGAAGCTTTTATTTCATTTAGGTGAGATGGATGAATAACAGAAGTTTCGGAGTGATGGTACTAGGCCCTCTTACATGGCAGAATGGAGTGGCCCAGCTGTTTCTGTAGAAGGGCCTATATTATTTGTGTGGCCTCTCTTTAGGTCCACAGTTGCCATGGAGACCTTTTGACCAAGTTATAGATACAAAACCCTGCTCTATTAATGTCCCCCTCTTCATTGTACTCTTTGTAGTAGTATAAAAGACAAAGAGAAAGTAATACAATGGAGCTGTCTGTCTTGTTTAAAATAAAATGACTTTATTATTAATTGGATTTATCCAGTTTTTATGAGCTTTCAGAGCTTTTCACACTTTTTTTACGCTGGAAAAATAGGAACATTCAGAACTCCCAGCATAATTGTTCATAATATAGTCATTTAGCGGATACTTCTAAGCAGAGCACCTAATAAAAACTAGGGAGTGAAGTATATATCAACATTCCCTACTGCAGAGTAACTAAGTAGTTCATTTATTTGTCTTATCTAAAGGACAGAGCACAAAGAAGTGAGGTGACTTGTTAAACATAATACACAGTTAGTGACCGAGCTGGTAGTTGAACTTGTAAGTAATAACCTACCTCAACCACTGCTGATATTGATGCATAGTTCCCCCCCCCAGTTCCCATGTAAGTCACTCCTTGAAGAGGGACTTGGAGTACCCCTTTAAGAGCACTGAACTTTTATTTAAATGCTTGTTTGTGAACTGTGGAACAAATACATTGGTTTGAATAAATGCATACCTCCTCTTTCAAATTACACAGAAGAGTTTGACCGGATGCACCAAAGTGATGATATTCCAGACAAGATGACACTATCAAGAATTATGATCTATTGTAACATTTATTTCTTAAAAGTGCATTTACTTATAAAACTTTGGCATCTAGTTAATGCAGTTATAATTGTGGGTTACGTTTTATTATAGTTGAGGTTCAGTATGTTTTGAACGAGGCAAATTAATTTAATCCCAAATCAAGTTCACATTTTAGTTCACTTGCAGTTTCATGCAGACCACAGTTCTGTTACTTGGATATTGCACTTTTCTGAAAGAACTGTGCTGTCTTGAGATGTCACGGAGAGTATTTTGTGTGATATACCCGTTTATTGGTTTGTTTGATACTTGCATCAGATAACAGTGGAAACAGAAGAAGGAGCCACAAGGACATTGTATATTTGTGTAGACAGCACTGTCCTTTAGTGTGAAATTCATATATGAAACACAGAAAAAGATTTAAGAGAGACCAGTATTACAGAGGTATGCTTTTACTGTACCACTTTACCACGGTAACTGTTGTCGTGTAGCCATTCCTCACAAGGACGTTATGAGAGAGGTTTGAATATCAGTATGTTTGAGTACAGTCAATACCCTTATTACTGATATTTGACTTGTTTCCTAAACAAAGTTTACATTATGTTCTGTCATGCCATGGTGATTGTTCACCTTTGTTCATTATTTTATACAGTACCATTTAATATAATCTATTATATAATATAATAATTTTCCCCCTAAAAACCAATAAACAAATTGAACATAAATCACTTTAAATGTATGGTGACTTGAAAAAGTCTTTTTTATACTTTATTATACTTCAAGGTACACATGCTACAATAATACACTATGTACATGTAATTCTGTACATCAGGTGCATGTAAGTGACTACAGCAGTACGTCCTTGGTGTTTGCAGTTTGGTTTACTCCTTGGATTTCTCAATACATAAGAGTTACATATTTGCCAAAATCGTTTATGTATCTTATGTATTAAGCAATGTTTTGGTATTAATGTCTTATGTATAAGTCAATACTTTATTTAATCCAAAAAGTTCAACATATGCAGTATAAATGTTTTGAAAGGAGATTTAAAACAACACAATTCAACTACTGGTAACATACAACTAAGAGGAATAAATACCATCTAAAGGTGTCAGTCTTAATGAAATTTCTATCCCATGTTAAATACAGTATGTGTCACTAAGAATTAATATGCACCAAAGTTGCCCATCGGTTCTTGTTTTGTTACTGCCAGGGAATCATGTCACTGCCTAGCAGTGATTCTGAGGCAGACGTCTACGCTAACATCCAGGCAGTGGGACTGGTCACAGCTGATTTCAGAGCCAGTGAAACCAAGGCGACAGTGCGTTGTTAGGAGCGCACTTTGTCTTTCCCACACACCAGCTGAGGAATGGAGAGCTCGCTTTCAGAACAGAGCTGTACCCTGGGGGTAAAAATGAAATCGCAGCTGCAACCCAGGCTTGCTGTGGGCATTGGTACCTCAAAGGGCACAATGCTGCTGTTTGTTTCAGTCCCTAAAGGAAGCCTTAATTCCCTTAACTCAGTGATAGAACTCTGGCAACTGAAAGGAGCATTGCAATACCACAGCAATGGAGAAACCCCTCATACATACAGTATTTACAGATTTTGACCTTTCGCAATTAAAGATGCTCGGCTTTTCCTTAACTTTGCTGCTGTGACCCACATAAACAGAAGAAAAAACGTTCAGACAATTCCTAACCTTGTATTGGCGTTCCTGGACTGTTTTACCCCATGTTTAAAAATGTTTCCCACCTATAGCTTCAGGGAGCACAAGTGTCAGTTTATATGTTTTCTACTGATCCACAATGCTCAGACTGGCAAATTGGCATGGTGGGTACCGAAATCACCTTTATTACTGGTGCTTATCTTGTTTGACATCTCTACCAATGGAACAAGTAATAGGTTTATTATCTACCATTTATCTACCAATGTGTTAGTTTTGCATCCACCATTTTGTAATTCTTCCAGAAGGAGCATTACTTTGTTCAGTTAGTTTTAAAAAGTACTGTTTTTTAAAGTTAGTTGTAAAAGTAATGTGTGTATTCGTTGCAAATATAAAAATATCTGTTTGGATTCAGATAAATCCTATTTATGCAGCTGTAGCTATGCATGATGTGGTGTCCTGTCGTCAGAAACAAAAGTGCTTATTGACTTCTGCGTGTCCTTCCAGTGACTGTAGATGTTTAAAGTGAAATTTATGGTGAGCCATTAGTTGGGCATTTTCACTGGATGTCACACAATTCCTTAAAGTCTTAGAACAGCACCTCTTATCCATTATCAAAAGGATCTGGACACGAAAAGAGGAAGGATGTCTCTCCTTACTTCGAAGTTCACATGGCTAACGGTTGGAATAATTTAAGAAAATTTGACCTTGTTGCGTTAAAAAAAGACAAATTAAAACTGAAATTTTGGTTTAAGGTGGGTGGTTATTTTTGATATTTTAAGCTGCAATGTAATAAATCGTCTATGAGGCTCAAAGCAATCTGCCGCAGTCACCCATATTTACCCTATCTGATGATATCACGCCATTGCAAGGCCCAAGCCACTTCAAAGGGAAAATCTCAAAGAGGACACAGCAGGCCAAAACAAACTGTACTTTACTTGTTATATTTTTAACAACTTCGTGTTTGGAGCTTCGAAAAACAGCTCTGTTGTGCTGATCAATAAATTTTGTGTTTTTTAAAGTGTTTAAAAAATCTTTTCTGAAAAGTTTAAAAATGGATGGTACATGATTTGAATGCTTTTTAAAGACTCAAAATAAGCAAATAAACTTTAGCTGATTTATGTTTAGAACAAAAGGACCTTTCAACTGTACACTTCTGTTGTTGAATGTCTTCATGAGATTAGTTTAGTGAGCAAAAGTAGCCCACTGTAGCAAATGGGTTTTAAATTAAAATAGTATATCCACTTATTTTTTATGGAAAGTAATTTTAAATAATTATTACAGGCATTTGCTTTCAGGTGTCACTTAAATCACTTCTATACTTTAAGGCATTTGAGATCCTGCTTGAGTTTTTTTATTTTGTCACTTGCCAGTTATTATTAATCGGTTTCAGATTTTTTTGGGTCATTACCATTCATTTAGTGACAATTTCCCCTATGTTCTGCAATAGCCTATGGTTTTTGACTTAAACAGAATTATCAGCCGGACTGTTGCTAGGTTTGTGTTAGCTTCGTGTCATTTTATCATTGAGATTTTTCTTACCAGCTAACTTCTTTTAGTTCTCTAGAAAAGTATGTCTTTGAATGTCTGAGACATTGCTTTTTCTGGCATTTTTGCCATTGGTGTCCAAGTTGCTCACATGACTACAGTAGTGCAGTAATGGCATGTTTCATTAGTACCAGAATGTACAATGAGATGGGAATGCAAAATGTCTGTATGAGTTATGAAATGTGTAGTTGGTCTTTCTGGTGAGGATTTAAATCATAGCAATTATGACAAAAGAAAGGGACAGTGTACTGTACTTCAGATAGTGCCACCATGCTTGTATGAGACCACGAACAGCATTTTTCTGGGTACTAAAGCCAGCTATGCAGGCCCTCGCAATTCCACAACATGTTGTGCCCCTAATCCAGTGGTTTTCACTAGGGGGTCCATGTCTTATGTTAGCTTGTCCTGAAGTAATCAGAAAGGATATTGAATGGTAAGTATCTGCCGTCTTTAGTTTTTAATATACAGTATATGTAGGACAGGACCTTTGGTTAAACCCCCCTATGCAACTGAGACCCAGACCTGCATGAATTGCAGTGCATTTCTTTGGGTGTGGAAAACCTGATGTGGTATATCGGTCTCACTGCTGTGAGAATTTTGCCTGGAAAATGTGGAAATTACTGAAGGACCACAAATGTTCCTTCCCCTATAGGCCCCAATGATTTTTTTTATGTGACAGACCAATCTTTTCTAGCACACAGTGCCTTTGAGACCACCCAGAGGTTTGGACTAAGAGACGCCACATTAGATAGACAAGCTCTTTGAGAAACAGACACATCTTTGTCAGTTTTGAGGCAGTAGCTGTGACAGTGTTTTGGTTTTTTTTGGTACTATCTGAGCTTTTATTATTGGTATGTGACCTTGGCATGCCTTTCGTTCCTTGGCATGCTGTCACCGTGCCTGTGCTTTTCCTGGTTGAGCAGCTTATTTCTTGACATTGTTGTACTGGCAAGGATTACAGCAGGCAGTGACCCTCTTCTCTGCATCCTCTGCACAGAAAGAGTGGCAAATGGGCATTTCCTGAAATAGGGAGTGGAATTAGACAAAGCTAAACGCTAGGTGTAGCACCAATTTCAAAGTGGGCTGTTATTACCTATCTGTATGATTAAGTCTTGCAGAACAGTATTTTTCTCTTGAGTGCAGTTTAGAAGTGCTTCTGGATAGTCTGTCTATTCAAAGGCAGAGGGTGTCTTTCCATTCCCCGAGTTCAGTATGGTTTAATTCCAGCCTCTAATCTGAAGGTGTTGCTGAATGACAGAAGGCTTGAAGTCAACTGAAACTGGTTGTGTGCAGCCAAGCCGGATAAGTTCCTGTCATGGGGCGACAGTACTTCAATTATATACCTCAATCGCAGCTCAGTTTTTAATTACTTTAGTTTAAAAACCATGTTAGTTTAGTTTAAAAACCATGTGGGTAGCCAGACATTCATCGTACTGTTTGGGAAACAGTTATAATCAGGGCCTTTTTGGAATATTATGTGATTTTAAATAGTGTCATCTCTTAATAGCAAATAAAAATAGCATCAGAGGTGAAACGTACTGTAGTTTGAGTCGATTTCCAAAACCGCTTCTTCATCACCTGGTACAGATACCTCCCTTTGAGGTGTGTGCTGCTAATTTTAACCCAGATAACACTCTTAGTGTGATTTTTCAAGCAGCCAGTATGAAAGGGTAATTACCTTTCCAGCGAATGTTCAAACAAATTAGGAATGGAAATCATTATCGATGTTTGAATAGGCCCTTCTCCAGCAGCCCTATAATGCGTCATTTATGAGTTTCATTTTGCAATTTGTCGGTTAATAGGTAATTACCCTGCAAGAGTTTTGTGTAACCTCCTACTGTATATGGTGCATAATAATACAAAACCTCTTATTGACATGGTTTTCCTTACAGGTCCATAGTATAAAGTAGACACTGATATTCTGAACTTAAAAGTCATATAATGAGCCAATACTAGGATACTCTGATCACAGCTTTAATAATTTGAGGGGCAGAGCACAAAAGGTGCTGAAAATTATTCCTTGAAGTACATTTGTGCTTAAAGGCTGAAATGGCCAAGATAGCAGATTTGTCATTAGAGATAATTGTTGGAACAGTTGTATTTTAAGGCACACGAATCACCCTGAAGGTCCTGGGAATTGTGTGCATTGATCTTTAACAAATTAAGAAGAATCTCATACTGAAGACCTTGAGGGTCTATGAATCCTCTGGTTTTGTTCCTCCGCAGAAGGGGGTGAGTCCACAAGGTTACAATAAAAAGCACACTGCAGACACATAGTTTGAAAGTAAAATATAATGTTCAGAGGAGATGGAGACCAAGAACCATATTATTTGCTCTTAACTGTTATTGGTTAAAGGTTTCTCTGTAGGTTACTGTTATGTTATGATATCTGTCTCCATTTTAAGAGTGCTCTAAAGACATTGATGAGTTTTAATGGCAGCCTAAAGAATCCCCCTTTTTCTTGGAAATCTTGACACTTGGAGATGTTTATTGTCTAGTAAATTAATAAATCAATAAGTGAACTTAGGATGTTTAAAGCGCTGTGCTATTAGGCTAGTACAAGAACAAAGGCTCTCAATTTATATGGAAAATGTCCATGTAAGAAAACCATTTCAGTTTGAACATGGAAGGCTTTATTGAGATTTGAACGTACAATTCTCGTTATGGTTTAACATAAAAGTTAATTCAACAAGGACAAATCGAGATGAAAAGTGAATCATTTCAGGACAGAAGGTTAGGAAGATGTGTGTGTATATACATTATATAGGTTAATGTCAGGAGTTTTGCATTTCCTGTTTTAAAATGTCATATTTTACCTACAACCCCACAGAATGCAGAGCAGTTTGTCCCTGTCTCTTCTCAGAGCAGTGTCTTTTCTCCACTTGATATCTGGCCAGCATTATGTATTGTGTCTGTATGAAATGCGGACACTGTTATCTAAGGTTACACCACATTGCTCTGAACACATTATACCTGTTTTAGAAATGCTGCACTTATTTCTACTTTATTTGTGCTTTTATGGTATTTTTAGATTGTGTATATGCCTTCATAAATATTTCCAGTCAGAAGCTTTCTGTTGAAGTAGACAAAACATTTTCAAGTAGACAATCCACATTCTGTTCAATGGGAATGTGGATTGAATGTAAAATCTTTGGATAAGTTAATAAAGAGAGGAGGCTATTTGGCCTAGCTTGATTTCTATGGGTGTTGAGGCTTATTTATTGAAGGATTCCATTCAGCTTTTTATTTGAAGAATCCCATGGTACATAGGTTGCCTGTTTTTTGGTGTCTCGATGATACAGCTTTTCTACGTTTTACTTGTGTTTTGGAGTTTTTCTTTCAATATTGGTCCTTTCAGTATTAGCCCTGAAGTACAGTATTTTAAATGAGTATTTAATGTAAAGTTATAATGTAATAGTATAGTTGTATTCCTGCTTGTACTTGCACAGGCAGTGTGCTGATTTGTTACAGTTAAATTTGTTGTCGGGAAACCAATCACATTGTGCAACAGCCTTTTATTTTTCAACAAAACATATTATTTCAGCATTTTCACTTTTCTGTAAGTTTGCACCTTACCCTTCAAAAGTATTTCCAGGTCTGTAGATCTCTGGAAAGGATTGACCCCATATAACTGATACTACAGGATGGTTCATAATCAGAATCAGACATGAGGTTTCCATCTGGAGAAGAAGAAATAAACCTTAGAGAGCATCCTCAGTTGATCAGCTCTTTGATTTTGTCCATACCTTTTGGAATATTGAATGCTTGTAATCTTTACTCTTCACAGCCTGCTATAATCAGGATCAAAGAGACTGAATATAATATTACTAGAAGTATGATCGGTACTCCACTGGTGCTTCAGGGAGAGTGACAAAGCAACAGATCCACAACTCCAATTATCTGTGTGCTTCATACTGTATGTGCTACTAGTTTGAATCAGGTCCTTAATGGAGGAGTAAGGAGAGTACACCTACTGTACTTCTATAAGGACCTGCATCTAATAAGTTTTCTGATAAATAGGACTGCTTTCCCTGAGTCTGTTTAGGTGTATCTCCATGCAATTAAACAATAGTAAAATGCAAAAAATGCAATCTCCATGCAAAAACAATAGAAGAATCTGAAGTGTTGCACAAGTAAGTCTTGATTTAGCCTTCTTTTATAACCTCTAGTGTATCTGAAGAATGTATCTTCAGTCTTTCTTTTTCTATCAATGCTAGACTGGGGCAGTATTCACAAAGCTCTACTTAGTGTTAGTTTGATCAGTCCAGTTAGAAGAGAAAGAAAATTAGAAATAAGGAAATATTTCCACATTTCAAAAAAGTCAAGTCCATTTCTGCTGAAGTGCATCATTCACTTTTAAAGTAGAGGCTTTTGTTAAAAGAGGGGAAAACAGCCAACCGAATTTTTTTTTTGAAAGCTAGCAGCCCACTAAGAGCCAGACCATCTTTGTGAAACTGGCCTCTGTTGGTTTTAATTGGAAGCCTGGATTTGAAGACATACTTTTTTTTTTTGTCTTTCAGGGACCTCTTGTGAACGTTCCCAGCATGGACTGCTCTTCTCTGAAAGCCGCAATGGTCAGTACAACATATATTTTCTCATCGGAGCTCAGGCTGCTTTTGTACGAGAGCAGTTTTTTTATACAAGTGTCCTTTCTAAACAACTTTGTCTGTTTACTCTTTTCAGGCCACTGTAGTGTACTCAATGATGTTTTTATGTCCATCGATAGGCTCAGTTTGATCGCTACCTGGCGTCTCCTGATTCTTTGCTGATGCCGCAACTGAATTTTCTCCTCAGTGCAACACTAAAGTGAGTACAAATGTTCTCTGAGGTATGTCTTATATCTTCGAACTGATCCTTTCAAAGATTTTTTTATCAGGACTTTGTGGTTTTTACATGCCACTTTCCCTTAAGAACGTTTTTCAGTATTTATGAATGTCTCTTTTAAAATGCTACTTGCCAACAGGTGCCAGTTGAAATGGACACAAGCCTGTGAAAAATAAAATACCAGCTCAATTTAAGGCCGAGAGCAGATATGAACAACAAACTTTTGAAAGTCTGCATTAAACCGTGTCTCTTCCTACAAATGACAAATTCTCAACATAATAAATTATGTATGGTAAACATTTGAATGCTTCATTGCTACACATTACATCAGTCTCCTATACAACACAACGCATACACATGGGAAATGATTTTTAAGTGTTATTGTAGATGTGCTTTTAAATGAACAATGCATATTTCATAAGGATGCACAGTTGCATTAAAATTTAGGTCACACATTTTATGAATATGTCCTGAAGTGTATTCAAAATATTAATTTAATTATCATATAGAAATGTATATGATTTCAAACTAGTTGAAACAGCAGCTGATTTTATCTTGTAATTAACTAATTTTAATATTGTGCTGGCAGCCCCTTTTACAGCAGCTTATATTTGCTATAGTGTCCTTCACAACTGTCTGCCACAGAACCCTTTACAGAATTATACTGCAGTTAACAGTATAGCGATAGTTGACTGTAGGCACAGAGGGGAGGAAAACACAAGCTCCCCGTGGGAGAAAATAAACCTCTGGGGGTCCCAGGCCTGATGGTGGCCTGTCTTCCAAGCAATTCAGGTAGAGAAGTGAGAAATTGCTCCACCAGTTGTATTGTTTTTTATGATTTTTTCACACAGTGGCTTAGGCTTACCATATTTGGGGTTTTATTGATTTTATTTTTTATCATATACAGTATAAACATAAGGTACACACTGACAATAAAGAGATATAGATGTATTAGCGAGAAACAAATTTAAGACTGTTTAACTCAAAAGACTCATTTACATAGTACAGCAAACAGCAGAAAGTAAAATCTGTTAAGACGAAACAGTGCAAGGAACAGGCTAAGAAAAAGAGCGCTTGAGCAGCAGTTTAGAAAGACATATTTCAGAATCTACTTTGCATGGATGATTAAAAGACAAACTATACTTTTTTTATTGTTGACTCCAAAGACAGCTGCTCAAAGCAAAAAAAAAAGTAATTAAAACAAGCACAAAGGCTTAGACTGTTTCATTTGCTTGTGTTTTTTACGAGAACGTCAATAGGGCAGTCCTAGTCTCTAGTACAACAGTGTGAGCACAGGCAGAGAAATCTAATAAGGACTAAGGAGATCAAACCAATTTTAAAGAAGGCATGGGGTGGCCACAACACTTTAAGAAGAAAGTGGTCATTAGCTGGGTTTCTAAATGTTACAAAAATAAATTACAGACCAAAAAGCAGCAGATTTAGTTGTAGAACATATATATTTTAAATAAATATTACTATTCTTTTCTTGGAAATATAAAGAATTATTTTTATTTCTTGAATGCATTTTACTGTCCTTCAAGAAAAATACCGACTTAAACTTCACCTTTCCATTGAGGGTGTTATCGTGATTTGTGCTATAAATATATACAGTTTTTTTGTAGGGCATAGAATTCCATAGTAAAACAGGGCTTAGTCTAAATCTAATGGGTTTATGTTGACTTGCTCATTTTAATCGTTCTTCACCCCTTAGAACTGATTACAGCTGTGACACAAATCCGTTCAAAGTTTTAAAACCCCAAAGCTTGCACTGCATTTTCTTCTAAAATTTCAAACAAATAGGAAAACTACAGCTATGTATACAGTAAATGTCTTTTGATTATGTTGTTCATTAATGATTTTCCAGTACGGTCATGATTAAGAAAAGATACCGTGAAGAAAACAGAGGTGTAAACTTGTACATTAGAAGCTTGTTATATGTGTATGTATTTATTTGGTATGTGGGCATTAAAAATCATTTGAGGATCACAAAACACCTACAGTACATTTGTCTCTTGCAGTATGTTGAGTGCAGTGCTTTTGTATCTAAATATGCTCCTGATAAATCAGTGAATAGCTGCAACATGTGACTGGCATCATTACTTATTAGCTCTAGCAAATAATGGCAGCTGTGTTACTGTTAGTTGAAAGTTTTTTTCAGCCTGTGTAACAGAGCTCAATAGTTTTGTATTGCTAAACCTGCAAAACCCTAAAGTTTATACCAGGTTCTGTAGTGTTAAGTAGACCTAGAACATAAATCTGCTTCTGGATTATCTCAATTTAAATGTAGATATCCATTTGTATACCTTTATGAACTGGAACAATCATGGTAGAGTACCTTGCTCAAAGATATAGCATGTCCACATATGGGATTTTAACCCACAGCTCTCTGGTAATGGGACCATATAGTCCCAACTGCTACTTGACTCTGCCCCCCAGTGGTTAACTGTAAGAAATTTTTGCTTTAATTTGTGCCACCTGATTGGGTTTAAAGGTACTTTGCCTTCAGGAGTCATCCTGCACTCTTTGAAGTTATTTAAGATGTTGTTGTTTGGTTTTTCCCTTTGGATTTTGTGATAAATTTAAAATTGTCAGCTTCAATAGCCTTGTTTGCTCTTGGAATCTTAGGCGGTACAAATATTTTGTTCCATTTTTAATACTCTGGAACGAAGATCGTGCTGTTTGCCGCCTGTAGCCACTAAGCCATGCACTGCTTGGCACATGGTCCATGTGCAATACAAAAACAAGAAAAAAACTCCCTTATGTGAACATAAAACATACAGCATTGTTGTATTTGAAGCATGGACATCAAAGCCCAGTTTACCAACTAGCAAAGAGCGAAGTGACTGAAACAGTCATCAATGGCCAATTCTTGTGAACTGGGGCCGAATCCGCCTGGGTTCCCACAACAGACGTAGCGTTTCATGCTTGTAAAAGTTGTATTAAAGAGCTGTAAAAAGCCATGACACTCAGGGGGTGTGGGAAATGTCTGTCAGTGCTATTGTTGTGGCTCCTGTGGTATAAATTTTATTCTTCCAAGTTATTCAAATGTATTTAAGTCCTCTAATTATTTTTTTCTTTTTTAAACCGTCACATTCTTGTGAAAAACTTCCATTCAGTTATCGGCATTAGACGTATAGATTAGTTTTGCAATAAAATAAGCACCGTAGCTATTCTCAGTCACTTTTAATCAGTTTGATATGGAAAGCAACTTGTAAACTTGTGGCCTAACGTAAAATTACTTTAGGAAACTAAGTATCTTCTCTAACAGCTGCAGTCACCCTGTAATGCAGCAAGGGTTCCATTGTCTTCCAGTTTCATTCCTTGGATTTGTACTGTATTTAAAACTCCATCCATACATTTTCTAACTGCTTCTTACCACTCAGGTCAGGGGAGAACTGGAGCCTATCCCAGCAGGCAAAGCGCACAAGGGAGGATATGGCTCGGACCAGTCCATTGCAGGGCAGACACACACTCACAACAAGGGCCAATTTTCCCAGAAACCAGTTAAACTACCAGTATGTTTTTTGACTGTGGGAGGAAATTCACGTGAACTTGGAAAAAACATACAGTACAAACTCCATGCAGAGAGCATCCAGGGTCAGGATTTGAACCCAGGGCCTTAGTGCTGCAAGGCAGCGATGCTAACCACTGTGCCTCCATGCCACCCATACTTAAAACTGTGTTTTAATAAAGCTAGTTAGCTTTCTGGGCTAGCTTTCTGATCTACAATACAGTAGATCATTTTTTTCTGTGAAAGGGAAAAAAGGTTTCATTAGATTCTTTTTAGACTTTAAAAAGTGCCCATATATTCTCTGTTTTGGGAGCTGTTTGTTAATACAGAACTGAATATAGTGTTGTATCTGGATTTCACCTTCTGTGTACTCCTGTAATTAACACTTGAGCGTGGGCAAAAAGAGAAACCCTAAAAAAAAAATCAGAACAAACCCTTTCGGCAATAATTTCCAATACTGAACTTTACAACACTCTGCCTGTTCTGGCTTTGGTTTCAACTGAACTCTGTTACCTCTTTTAATGCTTCATTTTAGTAAAAAACTTATTCAATTAGAAACTCTGTAATCATTTTCGGCTCTCAGACTGCCAAGTACTATGTTAAATCAAAAATAGCATGTTCAAGGTTCTCACAATTGTGTTGAAACAGTAACTTGCTGATTTGATTTTTTTTTTAACTTCGCTGTTCAGCAGCTGAAAAGTTCGAGCTGTGTTCTGTGTAGACAGGCTGAATGGCCTCCTCTCCTTTATAACCTTTCTTATGTCCAGTGTAGCCAGAACTTGACAGTATAAGGGCTTAAAAACAATTTAAGACGTTAGTTCTAATTGAGCATGGAAGCAGCAAAACACATCGGCAAAACAAAAACAGTGTACCTGGTACAAAGATAGGGAAACACTGCCATACAGTGGCACCTACAGGGTTACACCTACAATTACAGGGTTGAATTGATTCAATAATTTGAATTTTATTTTTGATTTTATTTCATCATGACAAAACAGTAGCACATCTCCACTTCTACTCCATCAATAGCTCAGTATATGTATTGTACTGTATATATAGCATATATGTGTATCTCAAAAGCAACAGGTTTATGTATATGATTACAGCCCATTTAAAACACACTTTGTTTTAATTCAGTTATCCTTTCACAAAATGCACAAGATTGTTTTACTAACAGTGAGGTAAGTATAAACTAGTGCTCTCCAGCCTTTCTCCTATACGGCTCTAATCCAGTTAGTCCAGTACAGTAGGCCACCTGTTTCCAAAACCTGTGAACACCTGTAAATTATTAAAGAATTAAGTCATCTTTTCATTTATCAGAAACCCATGTGAACATGGAGAGAGCATACAAAATCCACACAAATAGTGCCCCAGGTCAGGATTTGAACCCAGGACTCTAGTGCTATGAGGCAACAATGCTAACCACTGCACCACCATTCTTACAGCTGTGTTTTGCTAAACCAGTTAGCTTGCTGTAGATAAATTATAGACTAATTTTACTGTGAAAGGAAAAAGTGTGTTTAATAAGATTCTTTTAAGACTCAGAACCCTGTTTTGAGAGCTGTTCGTTAGTACAGAAATAAATATAGTGTCGTGTCTGGATTTCACCCTCTGTATTCCTTTAATTGGTACCAGAGCATAGGTGACCAGAGAAACTCTCAAAAAAGATTGGAGCAAACACCTTTTGGCAATGATTTCCTATACTGAAACCTAGAATGCCATGCCTGCATCTAGTATGTTGGTCTCAGATGATCTGGAATTTTTTTTTTAAGTAATCACCTGCTTAATTGATTATAATGCAATTTATGATGTATAGTATCTTTAGAAATGGGTGGTTTAGTGGTGATGTACAGCAGTCTGCTAGTCCGTGACTCTTATGGATCAGGCTGGAGACACCCAATATAGACAGTAGCTGTAGGCGCTTGCCATTATGTAGAGTCTTAGAGGCCTAAATCTAAATGTATACAAGGCTGATTCATATTGCCCCTTCCCTATATGCACTGCTCTGTTGTAGAAAAATATAACATTTAGATTAATATTTTATGAAAATTATCCAGTGGTTGCCCAGGTACTGTATAGGTACCTACAATATACAGTACCTGGTCAACCATTGGATAATTCCATAAAATAACTTCTGTATAAATGTAATATATATATATAACTTATTTGTGCTTACAATTCAGTTCACAGAGTCCACAACCAACTTCTCTAACATTGTATCTGTAAATGTTTTATGTTGGATTTTGTTATGTAATAACCCAAACATTTTTAAAGGAAAGGGTAAGACTAATTTTTTTTTGTACCTGATGTTCTCATCTTGCACACACATATATATATATATGTATGTGTAAACCCTTTCATTTTCTGTTACAGTTGTATAAGTTTAAACTATAAATTTGTTTTCCAATTTGTAGTGGAAAATTAAGGAGATAATCTTTTGAAATTTTCTCAGGTTATGTACAGTAGCATAAGAAATATTTTTTTATAATCTTCATACTGTAAACACTGCCTTTAGTCTTTGGCATTTCAAAAAATTAATCCTTAACTACCGATCTATACAGTACCTGACAAAATGGCTTCATTCCCTATCGCATCTGCAATAGGTCTTTGCCTCACTTGTTGATAGATTTAGAAACTTAGGAGACAAAATGTTTGAAGGCTTGACTTTGAAGCATGTTCGAACATACAAAGAGCTTAAAAAAAGACTGAGGCACCACCCCATAAAGTCATAGTTTTTCTTCTGTTGGAGAGTATTTGCACCTGACCAAGAAAGTACCAGTGTTCTGTCGTTGATTTTTGCAGATTTCTTTGTCTAGTTTCTCTCATTGCTTCAAGAGAGATGATTAAGAAAAATCAGGTTTCTAGTGAATATGGTGCTGGGGGAGCTGTAGGTGGCACTCTGGACCAGAAAATTTAGAACAATGTATACCAAAAGTAGAGACTATATGTCCTTCAGCATGTCTTTGGTAATATAAATGGTGAATTGGCCAAAATCAAGGAAAGTTCAATATAGACTTACCCAATATTGATAACAAAAATAAACTTTCCATTTTCATCTTATTTAAAACTTTTGACATGATGAAAAATCTGTTGTTTTGGGATTTTTGTTTTTTCCTTCTTTTACATGAGAGCTTACTCTGTTTTTTTCAACATCTTTTCATTTCCACATTTTAAATAAGAAGGCAACCTACAAAGGCACTCTTCTAATCACAACAACAAACAGAAAATGGTAGGAATGCAAAAGTTCTTGACTTTATCCCTAGCCTTCTAGAAGATCCTGAAAGGTATGTTTCTGCTTTGGGTAAAAAAAAAAAACATTTTCCAAGCTGTCCAATTTATGCAGTGATCGCTCTGTGCCTCTATAACTTGTGCTGCATTTCCAGAAAATGTTTATGCTGCCAGTGAATTGCCAGTGAGGAATGAAGTGTTTCCTTGTTTTCAGGGAGCAAATATTCAAGCAGTCCACAGAGCTGGTGTGCTGTGCCTACAGCGAGGTACACACCGCCATCACCAACCCAGTAAACCAGTACAAGGATCCCGAAACTGTTCTGCACAGATCTCCACAGCAAGTACAGACCCTGCTTTCCTAACCTGACCAGACCCGTGCTGCACCTTCAGGATAACATGCACAAATGCTGAAGAATAATCCATAATAAGTTACTGCACTGGGCCTCATGTTTTGCTGGTCACTTAAAATTGTCTACAAATGTATGTGCTGTTGCACTTTAATTCTGAAGCTTGTAAGAGGTAGGGGAACTTTTCTTTTGGACTAAAAACCTTATAAACTATTTTGAAACAAGACAATTTTGCCTTAAAATTGAAATCAGAATAACAATTTCTGGTAAAACCCCTGGGTAGTATTGTACAATATTAAATACAATATTAGTCTTCAGTATTGGCCAGTATGTTTTTTTTAAATGGTCTGGATAAATAAATCACTCTTTTTTTGCATTTTTAATTGTGTAGCCAATATTTATTTCAGAAGTATCCGAGAGCAATGTCAACGTTTTGACATTTACGAGCTCTTTGGTCATTTAGTCTCAGGACATCCTTCTAGAGTTAATGAAGACAGCAAGGCGAACATCACTATTCAAATGTTTGCAAATAAAGTGGTGGCTTTTCAACATTCCTGTTTGTTGAGTATGCAAGGGTTATTGGTTTAAGAAACCTATCAAAACGATCATGTTTCTTGAAGAATCTCATGGGTCCTTTTTAAAGTAAGACTTTTTGTTTGATTGTGGTTTAACCATGGTACATTGTAGTGAAACTATAGGAAACCCCACTAAGACAGAAGCACAAAACAGTCTATGGTAAAGTACATTTACCACAGAAAACTTAATGGAAACATTTCCTGTTTTCAGTCTTGAGTTCGCTATGTCTAAAATCCAGTCCACCAGTTCTTTGAATGTTGTATAGGACGTAGTTCCAGTACTAGCTGACTTTTTTATACCCAAATCAAATCCCCATGTTACGAACCCATCACTACACTAAAGTTTATTTTGCTAGGTATCTTTATCTTTGTAAATAAAAAAATCCCTTTTATTTACATTTACTGATCCATAAATGTGAAACAGACATTTTGCTGACCTTTATTTTAAAGCATGTGAAAATATACCTTTTATTTCAGATTTACACCTAGATACACATGTACTACCTCTCAGATAAGAATGATGTTCCTTACATACCTATATATTTACATTATAATTAAATGTTTTGCAAAGGTTTGTAACTATACAAATATTTGTAATGGTACCAGTATCTTGCTTTTAGTAGGAACTATGATCCAACTGCTCTGTGACCTAAGTGCTGCAAAATAAAGGGGAAACAGATTATAGATTCTTTGCACATCAACAATGAGGTGCATAATTACAATGTAAAGTTTTCTGTCTACAAGAATAAAAACCAGTTTTTCAAAAGAGAGCATAAAAAATTGCACTTCTTTATGTGTTTTGTTGTAGAAGCAGATTGCTGTATAAACAGATTGTCAACAAAAAAGAAAAAGGTGTTCTGCTCTAGGACTTGAATTAATGGACCACTGACATACAGTATTTCCATCCTCTCATGTCCCCTTATACAGTATATGTGAACAGATAACAGCTTTCCCAAAGCCATCTCCGATATTTATGTGTCATTCTGGTCTTGAACTGAACCTTCTGTCATTTAAAGATTGACATCAGCCCCCACCTGAATTCTAGCACCATACTCTGCACGTGTGAAGCAGTTACAGTGTGGTTCGGCCTCACAATAGCTTCAAAAGTGTCACAGATCAACAAATGTCAGCTGGATCTTTAAAGCAGCCAATCAGAGCACCTTTCATCATAAGCTGATAACCGAGACTGGGCTACATTTAATAATTTTGTAGCACTTGACTGAAGAGCCCCCCCCCCCCCCTCCACACATACACACACTCCTCTAACGTTTAATAAGAAACAGGTCTGCCTTTAGTATTAAATTCAATTTTTCAAAACAAAAAAAGGCATCGAAATAAGTTTTAATGTTTCGAGTGTCTCGTCTGGTTCTTTCTTGCTCTGTTTTAAAGAGATAGTTAAATGAAACTGTGCGGTCTCCTGCCCATGGAGGGAGTGGGTAAGAGAACCAATTAGGGGTCGGTTCGGTGCTTTTCACAGACAATGGGGCTTTCATGTTAGGCTGAATCCGCAGTCACGCCAACTTCTAATTGCAGGAAAAAAATGCCTGCCAGCTTTCATTCACCGGCTATATTTAGGGGAGTAATAAAAAAAAAAGAAAAAAATGATTTTGAGAACAGGCTATTAATAGGAGTTGCAGCTCACAAACAGACCTAAATACTCAATTTGTAAGAGATAACGTGAAAGGGGGAAGGCAGTTGAGGCAAGCATATGTAAGATTTTAACTGCAGTGTGGCTTGGAGCAGAACCCCTTTTTATCTGCTGCTCAATGGCTCAGTCCCAAAGAAAGTTAAGAACTCATGTCACATGTCTGAGCTGGGACACGTTACTCTGATGCTACAAGCTTTTATGACTGTCTTGATTCTTGTCAGATCAACATGTTTCACATTACAGGACCATTTACAAGAGCTGTATGGTCTGTAGAGACTTCCCTTGCCTTTAAATCAATGGATAACACATGGAACCGCACAGAACCCCTCCCGTTACTTGGCTTTTCACAGACATATAAATCATTCCTTCAATGACTACCAGTGAGAAGTATCCAATACGAGATCCCACTAATGAACAGGCAGACACTATTATGAATGTTTAATTATCAGGTTGTCCTACAATGGAAAAATTCAGTTCATCCTTCTTAGCTAATGCATTTTTTAACAGTGTACAAGCTAATGCTACGTTTCCATTTGTCTCTGGAGAGCCTGGAGAAATGTGGTTAAATGTGTGAGCAATATGGGTTTGGGGATCATGGATTTGGTTTTGATTAAAATCAACAGCACTAAATTTTAAAAGTCTCTGCTGATACATTTATTGAATCGTGTTTTTTATTGTTGCTAACAGTCAGTGATATATGGTCCTCCCCTGCCTGGATAAGGTCTCTGTTTCATAGCCACTACTGTTTAAAAGCGACTAACCTGTAGGTTGACAATGTAAACTGGCTCTTGTTACTCAGTGACATCAGATTTGTCAAATAATACAGACAAAAGTGATTCAAAGGCACTGTTGTATTTACTGAGATTTAACAAATGGACTTTGGAAAAGGAATAAATGAAAAGAAGGAAGCAACCCCAGGAGCCTGTTTGGTAGTTACTGTTACAGTTTACTGAGATTGTTTTAAGAATCTCATCCAGCCTTTTCTTGAAAGGCAGGGTATATTGTTTCATACCCACAAAACTCTACAGTATGTTGACTTTTAAAGTCTGGAATAAAAATCGTAAGCAACATCATTTTATATCTGAATCTCCTTTTGTTAAAAAAAAATCCTCTCTTCTGCAATAATCCATAACATTCTGGAGTGAAATTATAAGTGATTTCTTATGATTGTGCCAAACCATCTTCCTCTTTAGTTACAGCGTATCAATAATATGCTTTTGCCAAATATATTGGTATTTGCCTTATCATCATTTCCTATTTCTTATTCAAAGCCCTAGTCAAATATATAACTTTAATAAAGATAACAGGTGTTGAAAGAGCAGGACATTTTGATATCCATGTGAACTAAGATTTTTCACTACATCTTTTTTTTTGAAAAAAGAAACATGCAACAGTTATACTTTGCCTAAGCAAAGATGTTTCTCAGTGATGAAGAGACACTTTACAGACAAAAGACAAAGTCACAGAAGCTACCATCACAGCACACCAGGTTTGTGCCAAAGTAGTCAAGACTAACATATTTGCATATATTAAACAAAGCTGCATTCCAAAATGTGATGTTGCAGATGTGACAAGGAATATTAAACTAAAAGGAGGGTTCAATACATAACTCATGTCTTTTACTCTTTGGTCCAGAAGCATACACCTTCCATGCAGCATTTCTACAACGATGCTCAGTTTCAGTAACCCACCCTGCATGTCATGTTTACCAATGCAGATTCAAAACTGAATCAAGGGCTCAGTGCAAAAGGCCTGTCAGAAAAACAACTAGTTCACCAAAATATGTGCCACTGATGTAGTTTAGGTGGACTCAATACCTTGAAAGTATTCCTTGAGATTTAACATCCCTTTATTCATCTTGTCATTCTGTATTTGATTCCTGCCTGCTATTTGGTGTGGAGTTACCTCCCCTGAAAAGCCCTCATTCAAATTATTCTCAGCTGAACAAGCTTTTAAATTGAGGTCTGGTTCATGACATAAAATCGTTGCTCAATTGTAGCCATAAGTACAATTTAAATTTTGCAAACAAAATTGGGCCATTCTGGTGTACTGGGCTAAGACTGCACTCAACAGTGACGAGAGATCATCAACGGAGATGATTAAGGAAATGAATTAAATGTGATATGCTAATCCTTGGCTAGTACTAGCTGTGGGTTAGCAGAGAAAAGGCGGCGGAAGGTCACACCATTTTAGAATGAAAACTTTGCACGGAATTTTATATTAGAAGAAGTGTCCTGAATTGAGCAATAGAACAAGGATCAGCATTGTTGAGTAACTCGTGTCAAAAATGGAGGGTTGAGTAGCCCGCATTATGTTGGTCACATGATGTTGCAAAGTGCCCTAACCTCTTTGTAAACCACTTTATCCTTATCAGAAGGATACATATACCAGAAAGGAGCAGCTGTTTCCTTAGCAACCACAGACAAAAAGCATATTTACATTGAATCTTGTCCTTCAATAGGTAGGCGATTATTGTACCACGTCACATGCTTACGAGAAAATGGAACAGCCTGTGAAGGATATCACAAGAGTGTGTTTTACCTGTGTTTTGCTATTAATTTCTTACGTATTGCACTTTTAATACATTTCACACGACAATAGATTATTTTGCTTAGCTTTATAAGAGCATTGCAGAAATCTTCTTAAAAGTTATAATCAACAGAAATTTGAAAGTATTTACTGTTCAAAAAACAAAGTAGTTTGAAATGGAGTGTTTTGACCTAAAAACAGAGTATGTCTTTTCTGAGCTCAGGGGTAGTTATCTAGTTTCATTGATGATCAAGAAAGGGGGCCATGTTTTTTCCCTAAACATAATGATGGAAAACATTAGATAGGGGGCAGCACTGTGACGTAGGGGTTAGTGTTGCTGCCTTGCAGAACTGGGCCATTGGTTTATTTCTGGACCTGGAGTACTACAGTATCTGAGTGGAGTTTGTACATTACGGTATGTTTGTGAGGGTTTCCTCCAGGTGCCCCAGTTTTATCCTGAAGTCCAACAATATGCTGGTAAGTTAATAGGTTTTTGGGGAAATTGGCCCTGTTGTGAGTATGTGCATGCTTGTGTCCTTATGTACCCTGCAGTAGTCTAAAATCCTGTCCAGAGTGTATCCTGCTTTGCAGCCATTGCTTGCTGGGATAGGCTCCGGCTCTCCTTCAAGCTGTATTGGATAAAGTGGTTAGAAACTGGATGGATGGATTTAGGTTAATAGAAAAACACAAAGAAACAGAAAAAAACACGTGTTTTACACGTGTAAGGGGGCAGTGAAGAGAAGGCTCCATTTAAATATAAATAAAATATATGATACTGTACATGAGACATTTACAGTGCCTATAAAAAGTCTACACCCCCCCCTTGGACTTTTTCACATTTTATTGTGTTACAGCATGGAACCATGATGTATTTAACTGAGTATTTTTGCCACCCATCAACACAATGTACTCTATAATGTCAGAGTGAAAAGCAAATCCAGACATTTTACTAAATTAATAAACAATAAACAATAAACAGAAAATGATAATAATTTAGTCTTACTTCAACCAGTTTTTCAAACACTTGAACCTGTTTCCCTGACCAATAAGTAGAAAGTACTATCACAATGCTTTTTCGAAAAAGTACAGTATAAAATAAATTCACTGCCCCACCTTGTTTCTGTGTTTTTTGCTGATGAGAAATTATTAAATGTATTTATATTAAGTAGAATCTTCATTATTAAATATAATAACCCAACAAAATTGCCATTAACAAACTAAAGGGCATGATATACATGGAATATTTAATAACACAACAGTTTACCAGTCCTAATAAATGTTAGATTGAAAAATCACAACTGTAAAATGGTGTACAGCCCAATGTGTGAACCATGATATGTTGTATGTCCTAAAATGGCTTTTCATTGCTTGATGAATCTTTTGTCACATGTTGTAGCTATATATGATCTCTAGTACAAAGAGCCTTAAAGAAAATGGTATCCAAGAATAATGCAGTGACCTATTTATGTTATTAAGAATCATCTTTGGAATCATCTGTTAGCCTTCACTTTGAAATGTGGCCAATGGTTTTCAGGCATTAATTTTTTGTAATGTGAACATATCTGTCATGTAGCAAAGAGCATCTTACAAATATTCTCTGTCCTAATG